TGTTCCAAGCAGGACAGTAGGTAAAGATTAAATAAGTTAAATAGGTTATTTCATGCCGTGTTTATTATTGGTAATAATTTGGACATAGTTCAAATTAAAATTTATTTTTATACATTGGAGCATTCTTTGTTTGGTTAATTTTTCTGCTGTTTTAACGTACATATCCTAGTTTGTTTGATTTATTTCTTTCCAAGTAATCGTCTTTACTTTAAAAACCCATTTGTACCAAGAGAAGCATATAACTCCAGCGTATTCTGCATAGGGAGCAGAAATCAGAAGTATTACATTTCATTTCCTGATAGAGTCTTGATTGGTTAATGACCTCTGATAGAGGAATAGAGTCTTGATTGGCTAATGACCTCTGGTTCTGTGAAGCTGTGATCAGATCTCTGACCACAGTCCTTTTCCACATTTGAATCCTTTCAATAGCTCAAGTTCTTTGTCTTAGTCTGTTTTGTGCTGCTATAAGAGAATTCTTGGATAATTTAAAAAGAATGTAAGTTTGTTGTCTTGGAGAGGTTGGGAAGCCCATGATGGAGGGGCTGTGTCTGCAGAGGTCCTTCTTGTTGCTTTGTAACATGGCTGAAGGCATCACATGGTGAGCCCGAGCATACTTGGCTGTACTTGCTTTTGTGACAGGCACAGATAGGATGAGGGCACTGCTTACGTGCCTCTTAAAGGTCCTACCTGTCAACATTGTTGTATGGGGACTAAATTTGCAACATGTGAACTTCTGTTCACATGGGAATATCTTCGGTTTAGGAACATGCTTTGAGAAAAATGGGAGCAAAAAATATTGATTTGTATGAAAGCTACTTCTGAGTGGTCAGATATTTGCTCAGTGAGCACGAGACGCCTATTTTATTTGACTATACCATAAGAGCACGTTGTCAAGTGTAAGTGTAGTGGATAAATAACATTGGCAATACCTTATTCTTGGAGCACATGTATGCAGGCACACATCTTTAGGCAATCTTCACCACAAACCCTGTGGAAGGACTTTTATGAATACATCGATATTCTAAGCCCCAGAGTTAATCAACATATTTCTAACGACTCCTAGGCACCAGACTGTGCTGGGACAGAAGGAATAGAGAAATAAGATCGTGTAAATTTGGAATGTTCCATCATAAAATAGTTACATAGGGGGCATCTATTTGCGTACTAGTGGAATTTAACTTGATTCCAATTTAACTTGATTCCATTGTGAAAGATGCTGCCAAGACATCCTCAAACAGAGCCCTGTGAGGGAGTTTCTCTAGGGTAGGTGTGTACAGCCAGTTAAAGTATGGCCATCTTCCCTTGTAGGTTTGCCTTCAGGTCTATTCATTCTCCTGCCAGCTGTTTATACAAATACTTTTTCTAAATTGAAAAAATAATACTATTTCATGGAGGGACAAAGGCTGAACAGATGCAGCAGTGGTACTCACTAGACAGTTGTTAACAATGAACTACACAACTTGTGGGTGGGGATGGGAGGGAAAAACTGGGAGAGAGCAAGGGAAGGGATGGCATTGTCCAAAAAGAACTGCGCTCATAGCCGGGGCCAGGGCTCACACCTGTAATCCTAGCTACTCAGGAGGCTGAGGAAAGCCAGCCGCACCAAAGTTGTAAAATTCATTTTTCTACATAACATCTTGTACATCTCATTGTTGCAATGGGTCCACCTGTATCCCTATTTAAACAATTTGTTTTTCCCCTTCCCCTCCACAAATTATACCTACATCAAATACAGTGAAAAAAGGGGTCATACCGTGGGGGAGGGACATACAAAGCAACCAAAAAATCACCTTATAAATGTGTTAGAACCCATAGCAAGAAAGAAAAACCACTTGTGTCCTTATCTTGGGATTCATTTCACTTAACATCAACTTATCTGACCTTTTCTGCTTGTCTCAGATATAGTTACTACAAATAAGGGAAACCATGGGACCTATGTTTCTTTGGGCCTGGCTTACTTCACTTAATATAATTTTTTCCAAGTCTTTCCATTTCCTAACAAATGGGGAAATGTCATTCTTTCTGATGGAGGCATAGAATTCCATTGTGTATATATACCACATTTTCTTGATCCATTCATCTACTGAGGGGCATCTGGGTTGGTTCCATATCTTAGCTATGGTAAATAATGCTGCAATAAACATAGTTGTGCTGGTAGCTTTAGGATGGTCTTGTTTGTGATCATTTGGGTAAATGCCCAAAAGTGGGATTGCTGGGTCATAGGGGAGCTCTATGTGGAGTCTTTTGAGGAACCTCCATACTACTTTCCAAAGTGGTTGAACAAGTTTACACTCCCACCAACAATGCAGTAGGGTTTCCTTCTGGCCACATCCCCTCCAGCATCTGTTGTTATTAGAGTTCTTGATTCTAGCCATTCTAACTGGGGTGAGGTGGTATCTCAATGTTGTTTTGATTTGCATTTCTTTTATGGCTAGGGAGGTTGAGCATTTTTTCATCTGTCTATTGGCCAACCTTCTTTCCTCTTCAGAGAAGTTTCTCTGTAAGTCTTTTTTTTTTTTTTTTTTTGGTCGGTTGTGGAGCCTGAACTCTGGGCCTGGGTGCTGTCCCTGAGCTCTTCAGCTCAAGGCTAGCACTCTACCACTTGAGCCACAGCGCCACTTCCAGCTTTTTCTTCTTATATGGTGCTGAGGAATCAAACCCAGGGCTTCATGCATGCAAGGCAAGCGCTCCACCACTGAGCCATCTTCCCAGCCCTCTCTGTAAGTCTTTAGCCCACTTATATTGGGCAGTTGTTTCTTTGAGGATTTGTTGTTGGAGGATTTAATTTTTTGAGTTCCAGGTATATTTTAGATATGAGACCTTGTCCGTTGTATGGCTAGTGAAGTTCTTCTCCCAGTCCATGGGCTTTCTATTGATCTTGCTAGGTACGTCCTTTGCCATGCAGAAGCTCTGCAACCTCATGCAATCCCATTTGTCCAACCTTTCTTTGATTTGTTGTGTTTCTGGATCTCAATTGAGAAAATTTCAGCCTGTGCCAAGGAGACCTACGGTTTCTCCTATTTCATCTTGTCTGCTTTGACTCCAAGGTCTTTGATCCCTTTGGAGTTGATTCTGGTGCAGGGTGATATATAAGAATCTAGCTTTAGTTTTCTACAAGTGATTAACCAATTTTGCCAGCACCATTTACTGAAGAGGCTGTCTTTCTTCCATTCTATATTTTTAGGTCCCTTATAGATGGCTATAGGTCTGTGGGTTCATTTCTGGTTTTTTTTTAAATTAAAAATACAATTTCTTCAAACCAATAATATTTAGTCTTGTCAAAATAATAATATTTGGCAGCTTAGTGGTTAAGGATATTAATCAGTTTTACATGTTGCCACTCTATGAAAGTCACATTTTGCAATCATATTGTATGATGGTATAACAAGGGAGATTCAAAAAAACCAACTTTGCATAAAAGAAAAATATACAACCAAAAGCTTATTATATGTTACTTTTGAATATGAAAGGATTTTCCCATATCATGTCGGATAAAACGATGACTGACTCCTTGTTTGAGCAGGTATCAAGCATTTTACAGTAGGCCCTGGATTACAAAGATGAAGAAATTATGGTCTCTGACATCAGGGTGCTGTTGTTCCAGTGTCAGAAACAGGCACTGGCAGTCCAACTAAAAACTGGCATTCGGTCTAGTAGCTTCTGTAGACACCATATAGTGAGTATCCTAAGGACTATAGGAACATGGAGAAAGGAGAATATACCTTTAATTCTCTGAATGACTGGGAATGAATGTAGGGAGGTCTCTAATTTCCAAGGGTAGTAAACGATGCCTTATATCTTTTTAAAGTTTGTCACACTTTTACACTTCACCTTGCTCTATCATAACGTAGCACGTGACCTTAAGAGCTGCAGAATGACAGGGAAGCTCATGGAAGAGAATTTGGCCTTGCTCTCTTGTGTGGACATGGGTGTTTTTCTGACACCCTACTAGTAATTGCTTGGCACTAAAGGGATGCACAAATGTGTGTGACATGGTTCTTGTTCTTTGGAAGCTGTGTATCCAGATGGGGAGTTTGGAAAATTTATATTCAATGACATTTTTAGACACTAAGTCCTAAGAAAAAACTAAATTTGAATGATGCTTCCGTATGACCCACTGAAAATGAGAAAGAAGCTTTCAGGAAATATCAGAAGGAAACACTAGGGAATCATACATTTTCATAAAATTATCATAAAATATCAAGCCAGGTATAGTAGTACATACCTGTAGTCTCAGCTACTGGGAAAGCTACTGGAGCCCATGAATTTTAGACTAGTCTGGGCAACTACCACAACCTTGTCAAGCTGGGGAGGATGAAATTGCATATGGTAGATTCTTGATGTTGGTGAGTACATGCTACCAAGAGGACCAGCATCAAGGAAAAACTGTAAATAATGTTCAAGGTGCAGAGTTTAGTACTTACTATGAATGCTTGATTCATTTTCTTCAGTAACACAGGCCACTTTCCACTAAAGACATGCAGCCTTTCAACCTACCTAAAATGTTCATTCTACTGCTTCAGTGAAGCAGATTACATATCCTTTTGGGCTTGGAGGATTACCATAACTTTTACCCTGCTTTTGTGGCACCACTGTTTTATAGAAGAATATTTTCATAAAACCAAGGCAGGAAAGCACTTGGCAGATCACGCAGAGATTTAAACAAAATTGGTGCTAACATGGGCCTGACTGAACTTCTCTGCAGCACTGGAGCTGCGTAATGCATGCAGGAGAATGTAAAACTATTGCTTCTGAAGTTTATTTTGACTCGTATTGTTTTTGTACTGTGCTTAGTCAAGACCACATGTAATTAATCCTTGAATGTGGTGGGCTTATTGTGTACCAGCTCTTCATACTTCACTGTATATGCAGTAAGCATTTAATGTACTTTTAATGTTTTGGAAGGACTGACAGTATGTTGTTAATATAGATACCTTAAGGGAAAGAAACATCCATTTCTTATCTTTAGTTTTAATTTTTTTGTTTGTCTTGTTTTTTAGGTCAAGAAGTGGTTTTCCAGTGCCTCGGGGAAGGAATTCTTGAGAAAGCCTTTCAGGGGTACAATGCTTGCATTTTTGCCTATGGACAAACAGGTAAAAATATTGCTTTTATTACAGTCAATAATATTAAATAGGTACTTTATTTATTTTGTACTAGAGGTTGAACCCAGGACCTCATACATACTAAGCATGAGCTATATCACTGAGTTACGTCTGCAGGCTTGACTACATAGTTCTTAAAGCTTCAAAATAGAAAAAAAAAAAGTTTTGAGAAGCTAGCTACAGAAAAATGTGTCAGATCAAAAGTAGTCCTCTTCTGGAAAATGCAGTAGTTCTGGTGATTGATTAATTTTAGTATTAATGAGCAAAGCTAGTTTCAGTCTATTAAGTGTCATTTTCTCAAATTAGAATTTTAACCTGTATTTGAGCTAGACAAGTATTTACCAGTTTCTCAGCATAAATGTTATAGTGAAAACAATACAAGGACTTTTAGAATCATCCCCTCCTGAAAACTTTCACTGGGGTACAAAAGCAGTGATGAATGGAGCAGTTGACTGAAACAGGCACAATAGAAGCTATCAGTGGCCCCAGCTTTAACACACTGACCATGGCTTTCTCCAAGTAGGGAAAGGAATGAATAAATAATCAAAGGAGAATATATGAATGACATAGTATATTACATATTATGTATATTCAGTAAAATATTGCTCAGGCTACTCATGTACAATTGTTATTTTGTGATTTTTCTTGTTGTTGTTGTTGTCAATTGTGGTGGGGCATATATGCAGCTCCTGGGCACTGTCCCTGAGCCTCTTTGTGCTCAAGGCTAGCGCTCTACCACTGGAGCCACAGCACCACTTCTGGTTTTTGAGTGGTTAATTTGAGATGAGTCCCATGGGGACTTTTCTGTCCCAGCTGGCTTCAAACCATGATCCTCAGACTTCAGCCTCCTGAGTAGTTTAGGATTACAGGCATGAGCAACTGGTGTCTGGCTATTTAATGATTCTTAGGTTCAGTGTATGTGACCTTAGCGAGTAGCATTTGTACACATCCATGTGTGAGGAAGGGTTCTCTGGATCTCAGACTGAGGGCTGTGAGTTTGATGTAAACAGCAGTAACTCTGATGTCCACAGGCCTGGGTTTGAGGACCAGCTTTTTTGTTTTTTGTTGTTGTTAGTCCTGGGTCTTGAACTCTGGTCCTGGGCTGTGTACCTGAGCTCTTCAGCTCAAGGCTAGTGCTCTACCACTTGAGCCACAGCACCACTTCTGGTTTTCTGGTGGTTAATTGGAGATGAGTATCATGGATGTTCCTGCCTGGGCTGGCTTTGAACCACGATCTTCAGATCTCAGCCTTCTGAGTAGCCAGGATTACAGGTGTGAGCCACCGGTGCCCAGCTGGTTTCTTGCTTTTATTCCATATGACTTAAGCTGATAGATGAAGATATGTTTGACACATTGCCGGCTGATTCTTTCTGCCCTTTCTTCCTTCTGTTTGCTCCCTTCCAGGTTCAGGCAAATCCTTCTCCATGATGGGCCATGCTGAGCAGCTGGGCCTTATTCCAAGGCTCTGCTGTGCTTTATTTAAAAGGATCTCTGTGGAGCAAAATGAGTCACAGACCTTTAAAGTCGAAGTATCCTATATGGAAATTTATAACGAGAAGGTTCGAGATCTTTTAGATCCTAAAGGGTAAGTTAGGAGTTGAAAATTAAACTTGGAAAAAAGAAAAAAAGAAAATTACACTTGGAAATAGATCCTAAGATGTTTAAATCATGCTCTATGTTGTGAGTTCATTTGCTGAGTGATCAGGTCTACTGACCTGAACTTCATTCACACAGAATCATTTAGTAAACCCAAGGTGAAACCTGAGCACGCATATATTTTTTTTCAAAACTAGGGGATGGAAACCATATGCATTTGATTCTGACAGAAAAGTGTACCATTTGCTTTTTCGCTTTGTACTGATATTAAAATACATATTCGAGGAAAATTTAGAAAATACAGTTTAAAAAGATGACAGTTTCACCTGGTACATACTGGGACAATGGATGAAGAAATGCCTGTGCAGTGATACCTCATATTTAATATTTTAGTATTAAATAATTAATATTCCAGTACCATCATAGGGCAGGGAATAAGTTTAACCTATACACATGATTGAACTGGAAGATATTTTTCCCTTCCTCTGCTTTTATAGCCTCAGATTGTTCTGGGGCTAGCTTAAGGGAATTACAGGAACAGATTAAAAGGCCACATTCCAAGAGGTAGAAAAGAGGATATCAGGAAGTAGTCAGATAAGTACTCAAAGGCATTCCTTCTTGTCTTTTGACAGGATTACTGCAGAAGGTCAGACACAATCCTGTGTCTTTATTTAGACATAGGATAAGCACTTATACAACCAGCACTTCTCTACTGGAATCATTCTCCCTGTACCCAATCATAGGTCCCTTGGGATCCTATGGCTCGCACAAAACAAATTAAAATTAAAAATGAACTTTAACCCGATGAGTCAAAAATAACCACTGTTAATACTTTGGTGCCTGTTGATCCTGTGTTTCACATCTGTGTTTTATGTGGATGTGCCTGTATCTTAAAGTCATTCAGTAAATGCAGTTCGGTATCCTGAGTTTACCATGTGACTTCATGAGCACCTTCTCGTATCATTGGAAATTAGTTTTAAGTTCTTTTAGCATCTGACATGTAGCATTTCTAAATACTTGTAAGCACATGTGATCTTCAATAACATCAGGGCATGGCATCAAAATGATTTGTGTTAAGGAAGTGATCCAATGTTAGGACTGTTTTTATTTGCTTTAAAGAGTTATTAGCTATTTAAATGCATAGAAAAAGAACACATAACACTTAGAATTTATGAAGAATAAAATCAATAACTGGGGCTGGGAAGATGGCTCAGTGTTAGAGTGCTTGCCTTGCATGCATGAGGCCCTAGGTTCAATTCCACAGCAGGACATAACAGAAAAAGCCAGAAGTGGCGCTGTGGCTCAAGTGGTAGAGTGCTAGCCTTGAGCTGAAGAGCTGAGAGACAGTGCCCAGACCCAGAGTTAAGGCCCCACGACTGACAAGAAAAAAAAAAATCAGTAACTGTCTACTCACTACTTGGCATAACTTGTGGAACCTGACCAGTGTTTTTAAGCTTCCTGTATATTTCTCTTGGATTTTTCCCTATTCCCTACCCTTTCCTAAAATAAATGCTGTTAGGAATTTCATGTTTATAATTCATTCTCTTACTTCAACATTTACAGATCATTTAGCACAATTTTTAAGTTCATATAGGTAACATCATAGTATATAGATTTGGTGATTTGTTTTTTTCCTTCCAATACTTTATTCTTCCACTACCCAATGTAGGTCTAGCTGACCACAAACTGCTGACCTACCTGCCTCAGGTATATAGGGATGTACTACCACACCAAGTTATTTTTTACCTGAGTGGTAGGTACTGAAAAATGTTGAGATAGTGCTCTTATCATTACGCTACAGTTCCATCCATTCATTCTTACAGTACTAATGCACTGATTTTTAATTACATAGTATCTCATTTATGATTGTGCCATAATTTACCCTTTTCCAGGATAGTTAGGATTTCCACTTTTCATTATCACCGTACTGTTTTGAGCATTCTCGGGTCAGTCTCCTGATTTACAGGAGGAGTTTTTAGAAAATACATCTAGAAGTGGAACTGCAAGTTACTGGGGCCCTAGACTTTATAAAAACAGTGTGAAGTGTTTATACCAGTTTACACACCCACCAGCAGTGGGCAAGAATTCCAGATGTTAAAATCCATTATCAGCCTTTGATAGTGTGTTCCATTCATTTTTTCTTGCTGGTAGATGGTGTGATAGAATCTTCAGTGGTGCAGACACAGTGAGCCAAGAGCTCTGGGCCATCTGCTTCTATCTTGAAGACGGGTACTTTTCTCAAGTCCAACAGAACTGCTTATTGTCACATTGAACTCGCCATCCACAAACACAGTAAAACCTACTTGGTTGTGTGTTGTGAGATTAAATGAGATAAGCAAGAGTGCTTAGGATACAATCCAAAACCTTGGGAAGTGTTCCATGGTTTTAGTTCCTTTTTCACTCCACTTGAGAGATGTTAAGCATTGTCTCTTAATTTGAAAAATGATTAATATCCAATGCTATGGAAAACATGACCTACATAATATAGAATGGTTATGTTTACCTGTATTCTCAATTGTCTGATTAGCACTTCAGATGGGTTCCAAAGTAGAGTTGCCATTTAAAAATTCAAAGGGGCTCTAAAATCATCACCAGCAGAGCCAGTTCTAAGTATAGACATCAGCTGCTACAACTGTTGCATGTAATCTCCTTTTCTATATAAAATTGTCCACATAGAAGCAACATATATCAGTATAACTTGAAGATGTAAAGTTAAAATTACTTTATTATTGTTCAGTATTTGCTCAAGAAATTATGACATTATTTTTCCTAAGAATGTGCTTTCCTTTTCCCTTTTCTTTTTCTGTTCTTTTATGGTTCTTTTTAAATATTTCTTTTCCTTTTTTCTTCTTTTCTTTTCTTCCTTCCCCCTTCTCCTCGCCTCTCTTTTCTTTTCCCATCTTCTCCTCCCTCTCCTTCTCCTTTTTTCTTTCTTCTTCTCTCTGAAATTGAAGTCCATCTATTAAAACAAGTTAGCCCAATCTAGCTGTGCACTGGCCTTGTAGTTTGGGACTAGAGATAGAATTTTTAAAAATAGCACACTACTTTAAATAGAAATAAGAATATTAAAAACATTCCTCATATGGAATGCTATTTTGCTAGTCCAAATAAAGTAGCTTTTAGAACCTGTTTTTCTCCCCCTCCCCCCCCCCCCTTTTTTTTTCTTTTTGGGTCAGGTATAGGGCTTGAACTCAGGACCTGGCCTCACTGTCCTTGAGACTTTTTTTTTTTTTTTTTTGGGTCCGGTAGTGGGGCCTGAACTCTGGGCCTGGGCGCTGTCCCTCAGCTCTTCACCTCAAGGCTAGAGCTCTACCACTTGAGCCACAGCGCCACCTCCGGCTTTTTTCTTTTTGCTTACGTGGTGCTGAGGAATCGAACCCAGGGCCTCAGGCATGCAAGGCAAGCGCTCTACCACTGAGCCACCTTCCCAGCCTGAGACTTTTTTTTTCTCTCTATCAAGGATAGCACTCTACCACTTTGAGTCACAGCTTCATTTCTGGTTTTCTGGTGGACTTTCTCATGGGCTTTCTTACCTGGGCTGGCTTTAAACCACAATCCTCAGATCTTAGCCTCCTGAGTAGCTAGGATTATAGACATGAGCTACTAGTACCCAGAGAACCCTTTTCCTTAATCATTAAAAAAAAAAAAAAAACCCACAGAACTCTTTTAAAGCTATAGTAATAGTTTCTGAGCTTAAAGAAGAAACAAAAGCTTCCAACTTTGGTCTGATTCATTCTTTTTAACACTTCTCCTTATAGGAGTAGGCAGTCTCTTAAAGTTCGAGAGCATAAAGTGTTGGGACCTTATGTAGATGGCTTATCTCAACTGGCTGTCACTAGTTTTGAGGTAAGTGTCATTTTTATAAAATCACTTGCATGTATAGAGCTTAGAATCCATCACTTCCAAAAAATCCAGCACTTCCAAAAAAGCAAAGCAAAACAACCCGGCAGTAAGTCAGAATGTGTAAGTGGTATGATATATATTTACATGTGGTTACTTCATGATAATTCATTGGTACTCCATGACCTCAAATTACTATACTTTAGTAAGAAAGGCCATTGACCCACACTCTTCATGCTGCTTCATTGTGAAGGTTTTACAGTATGGACCAAGGCCCAACATTTTGGGGTTGCTAAGAACTTTTACTGCTACCACTGCATTGAAACTGTTCTTCCTAAGTGACCTATTTGGAGACAGATTCTACAATATTTGGTGGTTAATTCAACCCCTTCTGTTGACAGGGCCTCTAGCCTCCTTTCTCTGTTAACTGCCCTGGATCTTCATGCCAGGACTCAATGTTCTCTTCTTATTTCCACAGTCACCAATTTGGACATCTCATAATATACAAACTGCTATTTCTGTTGCTAAAGAATGTAAATGAATGAACAAGTGAGTGAATGAATGAATGGAAAAAAATCCCAGCACTTGTGCTATCTAAAGAATGTAACTGACCCATAATCGCCTTAGATTTAGTACGACTAAAATTAACCTAAGCTGACTTAAATAAAAATATGCATATGTGTTTCTCAACTTAAAAATAAGACCCAGTTATCACTTTAAAAGCATTGAGATTCTGAATGGAACATTTGCTGATCTAAAGGTGTTAAGTCAGCACCTTCACTAATGTGCCTGGCTCCCAGCACAGTAGGACTGATGGCAGTATCCATGTTACTCTGTCACTTACTTGTAAGAGCCAAGGAGCTCTTCCTTTGCATTTAGGTTTTGCCTCTGATTTGATAGGGGGAAAAACTTATTTGATCACCATGAAATTAAGCTTCTTTCATGTAAAACCTGGAAAATTACTTCATTAATAAGAGTCTAGAATGGTTAAGCTGGATTGTCAACTTGACTGGAGTAAGTAGAATCTATGAGATTAGTAAAGGACACCAATATGTGTCTCTCTGAGCACATTTCTAAAGAGTATTAACCAAAAAGGGGAAGACTGTCCTTGAACACAGGCAGCACCACCCATGCACTGAGGTCTCAAATGGAATAAAGTAGAAAAAGGAGAATGTCCACTAGCAGACCTTATCTTACTCTCTGTACTTCCTGTCCACCATGATATGACCTGCTCAGCTCCATTATACCCTCCCTGCCATGATGGACTGAAATCATGAGACAAAGAAAACATTCCTCCATTAAGTCATTTTGCTTAAGAGTTTTCACAGCAATGAAAAACTGACTAGCACAGATTCACTCAGCCAACATTTCATAAGTGCCTCTGGCTTCAGATATATAATGGGAACAACTGTACAAAAAGAATGTAGGGGCTTCAGGAAGCTACTTTTGTTGGAGAAGGGAAGCAGATGAGCAGGTGGGAGAAAGCTATTCTAGGCTGATAGACTTAGGAAAGTTAGCATTAAGAAGTGGTGCTGTAGCTCAAGCCGTATTGCACTCGCTTAGAGCTGAAGAGCTGAGGGATAGCGTCCAAGCCGAGAGTTCAAGCCCCATGACCAACAAAAAAAAAAAAAGGAAAGTTAGCATTAAATGAGGTAACTACTGTTCTTGTATACCTGGAATACTTGGTGAACACTAGCTCTCCTGGAAGCTAATCAAGAAGAAGTCAAAGTCTTAACAGGGAAAAAGGACAGCTGTTCAGTAGAAAGAATTGTGGTTGACCTTCATATACATGGAAGCTGTCAGGGATGGGAGCTCAAGCCCCACTCTATGAGGGAGAGACAGGAAGGTTTTCATGGAGGGCTGTGAGCAAGGCTGAGAGGTACTGTACTGGATGCACACACCTGTTTGCAGAACTGTGTTGTTACGTTTTTGTTAATAGTGTTTTCTTGATGCTTTGCCTCTAGGATATTGAGTCATTGATGTCTGAGGGAAACAAGTCTCGAACTGTGGCTGCCACTAACATGAACGAAGAAAGCAGCCGCTCCCATGCTGTGTTCAACATCATAATCACCCAGACACTTTATGACCTGCAATCTGGGGTGAGGGAATGGTCAGAACCTGTGGGGGTGGGGAGAACTCAGAGGGTCTCCACAGAGGACGTGTTTCAGGTGTGGATTCAGAGGCCGGTAATCTTACTTTGCGCCTACTTACTAGTTGAGCCAGAAAACAACTAAATCTATGTCATGGTTGTGGAAGGTTATTATGAAAATCACATTAGATGCTAGTATTTCTTCGTAGGCTCCAGCTTTTAGACTATGTTCTGGAATGCTGACTGTACTCATTTTCTACCTAGAGAACACATCACTTGCATTTTCACATCAGTTCAAATTTGATGATGAAATTAATTGCTAATACACATAACTCTCCGGACCACTTGAACTCCTACGATACTTGTTGGAGTGAGATGGCTTCTGTTCTCAGTCACATCCCCCATCTCTGTGTAGATGTCCATTTACTTCTGCATTTACATGGATCATTTCTCTCTCTCTCTCGTTCTCTGGACCTAGAACTCGGGAGAGAAAGTCAGTAAGGTCAGCCTGGTAGACCTGGCGGGGAGTGAAAGAGTTTCCAAGACAGGAGCTGCGGGGGAGCGACTGAAAGAAGGCAGCAACATTAACAAGTAAGGACCTGGGGAAGATCGGGATGGGTGGAATTTTTTTGTAATCTTGGCTTTCTTTCTCATGTAGTGGGATTGTTGCAGAGGGTTCTGATGAAAATATATTCTAAGAACGTGTGTCACTTTAGGAAGCTGGATTGAAGTAAAACAGCATGCACCTCTATTCAGGTGCAGCCATGGAAAGCTATGCAGTGTGCCCCTACCCCACAGTGATACAGGCACCTATGTGTATTATACACAGACGGTCCCCAACTCTAAGAGGTTCAATGTAAGGGTTTTGTTTGTTTTTACTTTGTGGAAGTTCAATAGCAACCTGCATTCAGTAGAAACTGTACTTCAGATTTTGAATTTGGACATTTATTCTAGGCTATCTCAGCTTGTAATCAGATCTTGCCTAATGGAACTGGGCAGTGGACAGTAGATAGACCAAAGCTCCCAGTCAGCAACTTAGTCATGGAAGAAAAAACCCAGTAGTCTACAGTATGCCATCTTGCTGAACTGATGTTTGGCGTTTTCCATGCTTTTTTTTTTTTTCTCATTGTTTCCATCTTCGAATAAGTTTATCAAGAGCTAACTCCTGTAAATTAAGGACTATTTAACTGGGCACTGATGTCTCAAGACCGTAATACTAGCTATTCAAGAGGCAAAAGCCTGAGTATTACAATTCAAAGCCAGGCTGGGCAGAAAAGTCCCTGAGGCTCCATCTCCGGTTAACAAGAATAAAAGCCAGGCTAGAGGCATAGCTCAAGGGATAGACTGCCATCTTGAGCAAGAAAGCTGATTGAGAACTTCAGGCCCTGAGTTCAAGTCCTCGTACCAATATCAATCAATCAATCAGTAAAAATAAAAAATAAATCACAGTTTCATAAATCAAATCCCATCTTAAATGTTAACTTAGGGAGCTTCTCCTGCTTTCAGTCCTTTTGTCAGGCTAATGCTGTTTAACTATCAGTAATGCAGGAAAAATTTAACAGTTATTGAATCTTGCAGTCTGTCTCACACTTGGAACCTTGTTGTTTGCCTTGACTGCACGCAGTGTGCCTTGTGCTGTAGTAAAGTCTGAAAGAGAAGAGTAGTGAAAGATGAGTCAGAGATTCCCCCAGAGACACAGAGAAAGATTCAGTTTCTCCATGTAGCAGAAGCTGCAAAGGCAGGAAGGAAATGACTGGATGTACAGGCTGGGCATGGCAGATGCATCCTTGGTACATGTGGCATATATATCGTTGGTATGGCTCCTGATCTGCAAGAGAAAATCTCTTAGCTTTCCAACTTGAGAGGAAGCAGAATTTGTATGGAAAAAAAAAGTACACCCTGGACAGACTGCCTGGCTTTTAACCCAGCCTTTAGTACTTCGTAGATACGTGTTCTATGGGCAAAAACTGTAACTCTGTGCCTCGTTTTTCTCATCTATAAAATGAAGATGATAATAGTATCTGCTTCCTAGAATTGTTGGACTGAATGCCTTTAGAGCAATGCCTGGCATGTAGTATACCCTGAGTAAATACTAATTGTTATAATAATTTCTGTAATGATCATAATCACTATCATGACTCCAAGTTCAGCAGAAAATAGTTTGCCCTATAGTTGTTATCTTTTTTCTGTTGAGCTTTAATAACTTGAAGTCTTACTTAGAGAATGTGACAAGAGGAAATACATTCAAGAACATGTTTGTGCAGCTTGTATTTTAAAATATTGCTGGCATGGTGTGATTTTAGCGTATGAAAGTTTAAACATTAGAGGTGAAATGCAGCAGACATGGCCTCACACACTGGGAAAGGCTGCTACTTTAGGGAGCTAATCTTCCAGTCATCCTGTCTCCTGCTCTAATAACAAGGGATTTTGCTGTATTTCATGACGAGGCATTGCAAGATTCCAGGCTGGCACTGTAGCTCTGTTCCACAAGAGCTCAGGAAATAGGACAGGAATGCAGAAATGGGGGTATGAGGGAATTGATATCAATGCAAAGAATATCACCTTTGCTAGAGGTTCAGTTACTAGAGCTCAGCAATGCCAAGCCCTTGCATTTTCAGTGGACTAGTGACAAAGATAAAGAATGTGGTACGGCTGCCTGTAATGTAGAATGACAGTGTTTTTTGTTGAGCATTCTTTAGTGTCAGCACAGCTGATCTTCCTATCAGCACTGTGGCATGGGTCTCTTCTCTTCATTTTTCAGATAAGGAAACCAAGGCAGGGTCTTAACTAATGTATCAGACTATCATGCTCCAAGTGTGGATCTTGTATTTGGATGCATACAGGCTCAAAAAAAAAAAAAAAAAAAAAAGCCCAGGCTTAACCACTAAACTGAACAAAGCTACTGATTCTTTTTACCTGGAAAAGTCTGATATTTTTGCCTCAGCATAAAAACTAATGATGCTTTTAAAGAAAATGTTTATTTTTTGATTATGTGGTACTGAAGAATTGAACCCACTGCTTCATGCATGCTAGGCAAGCACTCTATCACTAAGGCACATTCCCAGCCTAATGGTGCTTGTTTAAAGTTCTGTTCTAAATTATGTCCTGTCTGTAACTCAGATCCCTCATCAACTAGCTCTTTTATTTAGTCTCTGGGAGCTGAATGCATTTTTCCTCAATATGCCCCTCTTTCCTCACTTGTATCTGAGGTCTATAGTGTACACACCACTTTAGCTTTCTAAAGTCCGAAGTATTCTAAATTCCAAGACACATGACCACAAGGATTTCAGATATAGATAGGGACTTGTACTGTATTTCAAATATAGATATGGACTTGTACATTTTTGATCCAGTTTAATAAATATGTTTTGACCTCTGAGTAGGCAAGAACACAGAGATATGAGTATGGTGGGACCTGGCTTCCAGAAGTGGGGGAGGATGATTTTTGGGACAGTTGGACTAATTCGATGGCTACAGAAACTTGCACAGAGTGCAGTGGAAGCAGAGGGAAGGGATGTATAGCAGTACTGGGGGGTCAGGGAGGGCTTTCCAGAGGAGACACTGCAGGTTCTTGGCAGTTTCTCCAGCTATGTGACTTTTCTCTGCCTCAGTTTATACATTTATAAAGGAAACAGCTAATGAGTAGGATTATTATGAGGACAAAATTAGTTGCTTTCTCTAAAGTACTTAGAGTAGGTCCAGCACATAGGAAACTGTGCTAATGAAGTAATAATTCGAAACGATTGCCTAACCGTTCCACAAATGGCTTTCTACACCTTATAATCAGTGCCCAGTTGAATGCTGAAATTAAAGAAATCGACATGTTTCTTAAGCTCTCCCTCTCTCAGCCTCCTGGCTAGGCTTCTTTGGATAGAACATTAATAATCCCTTTAAGCAGACCTGTCAGTGACATCACACAGCCCTCAGTGTCTGCTTAATGGGCTATGGATTTAAGGGCTCATCTCTCCCCAAGCTCTTAAGAGCTTTAAAGCATACGGTACCCCTTTCGTTTGAAGAGTGAAGGTGCTGCATGTTTGCATTGCCAATGAATGCACTAGGCCACGCAGTGTAGATCTGTAGATGCTTTCACAGTGAATCTATCTGAAAGAGCTAGTTGCTGTCCATGCATCTACTGAAAGTGGGGCAAGGGTGAAAAAGCCTTTTACCAACTGCTGGAGTCTGCCTGTTTTAGCTTCTCTGTACATTCATGTAGCTCATGAACACTCTCTCTAAAGCCAGACATTCCTTCTCAAGGAGGCAGTCACTAAACACAAACAGTAGTCATCTAATGAGTGTGATTTCCATCTCAGTTTCTGTGGTTAATAGTAAAGTATGTGTTAGCATTTCCAAAAATGAGTTTGACCGAACACTTATTCCAGGAATATTCATATGCATTACTTCTAGAATGGTGTCACATGATTCATTACAGCAGCCTATAAGCTTATTTTTTCTAATATCTATGGGATACTGTTGTGACAAGTGAGCTGTGTCAGATACAGACACATTCACGTCTTTCCACATTGTCAGAATATGTTGAATAACAGTAAATTCAAGCTGTATCAATTTTGTGGGCATTCATTCACCAAGTACTTTTGATTTCACTTGGTAGTTGTGAGCCATTAGACAAACAGGATCTTTTCCAATCTTAATCACTAATATTAACTCTCAGATCACACATTATACTTCACTAAGGTATATAATCTACAGAATGGTGAAAAAAGGGTTAAAGGTATTGTTAAAGAGTTCAGAGGTGCCTGCCAGCTGTAAGCTTCAATAGAGAGCTGATACAGATGCAAGAAGAATCCTTCAAATGGTCAGATAAGGTATTAACATAACCCAATCACAGTTGTTTGGGCACAGGGATATCCAAAAGCAGAGCAGTGATAGTTCAAGGCGTAGTGCTGGCATGCTCCAGGTATGAAGCTACCATAGTCCCAGTGTTAGGTCCCTTCTTTTTATATGATCCTGGTGAGAAGGTTGCATCATTCTTTGGTCTGTATATATTATGGATTTGTCCCATGTCTTTGTAATTCTGATTGAATTGGATACATTTGTAGGTAATTTTCTTTTTAACCGTACTGAGGTTTGCACTCAAGTACTAGGCAGACCCTTTACCATTGCACTTTTTGCTCTGGTTAATTTTGAGATAGGGTCTTTCCTTGTGCCCTGAACCTTGAGCCTCCTATGTATATTTCTTACCTTAGTAGAATGAATATATAGTTAATGGAAGGTATATACCACCAAACCCAGCTGTTGGTTGAAATGAGATCTCAGGAACTTTTTACTTGGGCTGGCCTTGAACCTCAATATTATTGATCTCCAACCCTCAAGCAGACGAGTGATCATATTTTATGTGGATAAACAACTTGCCTTGTGCTTTGTGCTAGACAGATGGTAATTGTACAAACAGGATATAGAGTCATTATTCCCCCAGCATTTGCAGTCAAAAATGACATAAACTACTATTTTACAAAATGGAGTCACTCATTGTAAAGGTCAGCTTCAACCTGTACAATATAGAGTAGCCTGCAACAGGCCCAGCCTGACCTCCACTGTTGTCTTCCTTTTCTCTTTGTCTTCTTGAATACTTGTCTTGGCTCATGTTCATTTCTTCTCAAAAAATTTTCTTTATTATCTAAATAAATACAAATTTGTATTGAGGAAGAAAGAAAATGGCCATCTTCTATCCATTATCCAATGGTAGATAGTGGTTATTGCTAATTACAAGTAGTACATTGTAGGATCCAAGCATGTGGGAAGGGGTTAAAAGCAATAATAAAACAACAATAAGAACCCTAGATAGATGTCTTTGTATTTAACATGAGAGTCCTAGAAAGGACAGTTAAAAAAAATCTTGAGATACAGTAGCCGCATCTTTTTGTGGTGTATGACAGGGTTACCTTCATGTTTTCCAAAGATTCCTATGAAACACTCAAAGGGAGTGGTTCTGGGAGATAAAAGAATCCCTGGACAAGTAATTGTAAGGAACTCATTTATAAAAACCTATTTTTGGAGAGTCAAGTACTGAGAGCTCTGAGAAGTCCTGCAAGAATGAAGACTATGCAACTTCCAGATCATCATTGCCAAACTTAATGATAACAGAAGTCCAAGTGCAGCATATGTTAAGATTCCCAAGAATGGTGTTCAGTAGGATCCATTTTTTTTTTTTGAAAAAAAAAAACAAAAACAGTTATACATGACAGGCAGTGGTATTAGTTACTTGGTGGTAGAATCTCCTAAAGCATGTATGAAGCTCTAGATTTATCCTCAGACCACCAAAGCATATAAAAACAAAAAAACCCATGGTTATAAATGTTACCTACTAACCCAACTTTCTTCCTTCCTCTCCAGTCCTCTTCACTCCCTACCCTACCCAAGAACTCATGGTAAAAGATCTAAAGAGGAGGGGGTTCCTAAAATAGTAACCTTTTTTTTTTCTTTTGACTAAAACTAAATAGAACTTGATGCTTTTGCTCATTGGCTGGTATCATGCCTCCAACCCCAACACTTAGCTTTTTAAATAATCTGCTGTGTGGTATCATGCAACCCTCCTTGCAATCCTGTGAGATCTGCTTAGGCCTCTGTGTTTTGATGGCTAATTTTGTGGTCCAATTGATTTCCTTTAAAACGTACTTTTTGGGGCTGGGAAGGTGGCTCAGTGGTAGAGCACTTGCCTTGCATGCTCGAGGCCCTGGGTTTGATTCCTCAGCACCACATAAGCAAAAAGAAAAAAGCTGGAAGTGGCGCTGTGGCTCCAGTGGTAGAGCGCTAGCCTTGAGCTGAAGAGCTGAGGGACAGCACCCAGGCCCAGAGTTCAGGCCCCACCACCGGACCCAAAAAAAAATAAATACATAAAAAATAAATAAAACGTACTTTTTGAACTCAGTACACTGAGACATTACTCCAATCTAGATCCTTGCGAGGCTGAGACAGGAAGATCTTGAGTTTGAGGGTAGCCTAAGCAGCCCTATTTTAAAAGCAGTTAGCACTTAACCGTACCCCAACAGGATATCCCTCACCCCCTCACCCCTCAGTACAACTCTCCTCTCCAGGTACAGAGAAGGACTTTTCTTATGGGGAGTCTAAATTTTCTCTTTCTCTCTCCCTTCCTCCCTCCTTTCCTCCCGTTTGAGTTCTTTTTTTTTTATTTTTCCTCTTCTTGGCTTTTTGGCATGTGGATGAAGATTTGGTGATGCCGACTTTAGGGCCTTATTGTTCTGTGTATTTTAAACTTGTTATCTAGAAGAACTGTTGTGTTATGAAAGGAAAATAAGACATTCCATAGAATGAACATTTTGTTTCTCTTGGCAGGTCCCTTACAACCTTGGGGTTGGTTATATCATCACTGGCCGACCAGGCAGCTGGCAAGGGAAAAAACAAGTTTGTGCCTTATCGAGATTCAGTCCTCACTTGGCTTCTTAAGGTAAGTTGTCGTCGTTGTTGTTGTCGTTGAAAACTGGCTATATCTGTTGTAACCAGAGAAGAGGTGTGTGTCAAGCTAGCCAAATGCATACTTTCAGCCAAATTCCCAGTCACCAGAATGCTCAGTTGCCTGTTGCTTTTCATCCTACTACAGTGTTGTCTGACAGGTGTCAGTCAGTCATAGCTTTGAATAAATCGGTCACATTTCTTCCTGTCATCACATTATCTGTGCAATGCGAACCTTTTCTCACAGAGCATTTTCCTCATGGAGAGCAATGTCATTTGTGCAGATTTATTGCTCCCATCCAATGGTCTTCCCCAAGATGCTGTTTGAAATGTTTTCCAGGACAACTTGGGAGGCAACAGCCAGACTTCTATGATAGCTACCATCAGCCCAGCAGCCGACAACTATGAGGAGACCCTCTCCACACTAAGATACGCAGACCGAGCCAAAAGGATTGTGAACCATGCTGTCGTGAATGAGGACCCCAATGCCAAAGTCATCCGGGAGCTGCGGGAGGAAGTAGAGAAACTCAGAGAGCAGCTCTGCCAGGCTGAGGTGAGACCAACACAGGCGCCCTCTCGTTGAAGCTCCATAATTTGGTATTTCTTTTTTCTTTCTTTCTTTCTTTTTTTTTTTTCACAGTTAACCTAGTTTAATTTTTCTGGTTGTTTTTAGGCCAATACCTTCTTTTTAAAAAATTATTAATTTTTTTTTATTGTGAAAATACCATACAGAGGGGTTACAGTTACATGAGCAAGGTGATCAGTACATTTCTTACCAAGCATTGTTGCATCCTCCTTTGTTTCCTCTTCCCATCCCTGCCCTCCCTCCCTGCCCCCCTACCCCCAAGCGAGGCCATGCTTGCATGCAATGCTCCATCATCTCCTTGTGAGTCAACGTTCTGATGTTTATTGTCATAGACTCTGCTCATAAGCATTGTGAATTGTCATGAATAACACGGGGGTCCTGTCCTAGCAACTTTCAGACAAGGAGGCAAATGAGATCATTCCTGCTACTACCAAATTTGTTTGCGTCTCTAAAGCAGTGGACCCTTGAGCTTCAAATGTGTAATCCTCAGAACCAAGTTTTATTAACATTGTAAAGGCTGTGTTTCCACAGAGCCTTGCAGTTTTCAGAGGAGTTGGGAATCATTGCCTTGTTAAGTCATGGATATTAAACATTGTTCCTCATATTTAATATCCACATAGTCCTCCAAATAAGTGTTGGATAAGGTACTGTTTCATTTGAAATAGGTATGAGTTCTGAGCTAGAGGTGAAGAGCCTTAGCTGAAGTCACCTGCTCCCCTGGGCCAGGACTTGGGTGTGGACCTGACCTGATACTTCTTTTTCTTTTTCTTCTTTTGGTGGTAAAAGGGTTTGAACTCAAGGCCTCATACTTGCTAGACAGGTGATCTTGCCACTGATCCACAACTCCATCCTTTGTACCTGATATTTCTAAGTTCATATTTTTCACATCACTCTCTTCTGACTCCACTTTAATGGGTGGAGCAGGTACTTTCATACCTTTTTGTTCACATCTCTGTCTTCTGCACTGTGGGTTTTGAAAGCACAGGAAGCCATGTTTTATTAATGTTTTCATCTCCAACCCCTAACACAACGATGATTAAAAACATGGTTGGAAAATGCTTCCCTAAATGCCTTATACATTAGTAAGTGTTCAGGAAAAGTTAGGTTTTGTTTTGCCTTAAAGGTTATATCTCTCTTGATGCTAAGAAGAATTTGAAAGATTCCAGAAAAATCAAAATGCTGATAAAGTTTAAAGAGTTGTAACCTCAGAAGGAAAGTGTAATGGTTCTGAAATTCATTGGTAGACGATCTGCCTGCTTCCTGTTCCTGAGTTTACACTTCCACGGTTACCATATTACCTAGACCATGTGGCTAGGGAAGCATCTGGCCAAGGGAAAGAGAAGGGAAACCACATGGTTCTACCTGGAACTCTAGATGTGTATTCAGCACTAAATGTCACTCAGGCTCTGAGGAGTACTCAGCCAGCTCCAGATCATCACCATTCCAGCTTCTAGTCTAAGCTCTCTCATCTTTCTTGCTCATGGGGCTTTTCTCTATAGACACTCACAATAACTTAGGGTGTCAAAACAAAGCACTGTCACATAAAGTTCCCTCACTTGGCTTGCTTGCTCAGAGCTGATGCTTTATCATTTGAACCACACCTCAAGCCTGGCATTTTTCTGATTATTTTGAAGGTAGAGTCTCATAGACTCTTCTGCCTTTTCTGGTCTTGGCCTCTCAAATGGTGTGAGTTACTCGTGCCCAGCTTCCCCTCAATTTTTTTTTTTAAATTACAAGTACGTATATTTAGATTCTGTAGTCATTCTTATTGAACAAACCAACATTCCTGCTTTCTGATGATAGATAAATACAACCAAATGTATCATCATTCTCGCAGAAGGGTATGTTAAAATGCTCCTCATTTTAAAGTAAATAAAAAGAATCTTTACCTTTGCTAATTTGTTAATATTAGAAAATACCTTGTTTCGTTTGTTTTGTTTTGTGCCAGTCCTAGGGCCTGAACTCAGGGCCTGAGCACTGTGCCTCAGCTTTGTTGCTCAAAGCTAGCCCTCTACCGCTTGAGCCAGAGATCTACTTCCAGAATTTTGGGTGCTTAACTGAAGATAAAGATTTCATAAATATTCTTGTCCTAGCTTGTTTTACCACAATCCTGAGATCTCAGCCTCCTTAGCAGCCAGAATTACTGGCATGAGCCAATGGTGCCCAGCTTAGAATGTGTTTATTGGTGGTATGCATTGATCTCTGTCTTACTGAAAAAAGTCTTCTTAAGAAACCTTTATTTTTCCCTCCCTTGATATTTCAAAGATGAACTTTAGCATCCTTTTAGTCTTTAAATGTGGTACATAACTATGATTCATACAATGACTTTGTTACCATTTGTCTCGTTGTCATTTGTGACAATAGTATTTTTCTCCTTGAGACAGGTGATGTCCTTTGATTACTAGAGGTCTAAAGTCTGCTAACAGTGTGTGCAATAATTGCTTCCGATAGACTATTGATACTTGGTTATGAAGGGCATATGTCTGTTATGTAGGTATGTGTCTCGCGTATAATGCTGCAACAATTTTGAAAGTCAAATGCTCTGGTTTTGTTTTAAAGGCCATGAAGGCCCCAGAACTGAAGGAGAAGCTTGAAGAGTCTGAAAAGCTGATAAAAGAGCTAACAGTGACATGGGAAGAGAAGCTCAGGAGAACAGAAGAGATTGCACAGGTAGCCTGATACTTTGGGCCTGAAGTACTGTGATTCTCCTTCATGTTGTCTTTTCTATACCATCTCCTGCCATCGTCAAAACCTCTTTCCTTCTGCTGACCCAGAGACAGCACGGATCAGTTTAGACACTGACTTTGTGTCTTTTATCAGTTTATAGTTTGTTCTGTGTATTGTCAGAAGTGGTCAGTAGTGTTGTGCTTGAACAGGCAAAGTCCATTTTGTGATGTTAGATCACTTGACAGTACACAAGATTGACAGTTCTTACTGGCAGAGAATTCATGACATACACTACAATAGCACTGTTTCAGTGTGTTTGATTCTTTGGGCTTATTAGAAGGTACTATAAGAGCTTTAATAAAATATAAATTAAGGACTAATTCTACAGTGGTATGAGAGTGTGTTATATCTCTCTATTTAGCGTGCATTTCATGAACATTTTAATTCTACTGATGGCCTGGAAATATTGGACCATCCCTCTCAATTAACTAAAAAGTAGTCCATGCCCTTTGGTCCTATTTCTGCTTAGATGATTGTTTTTAGTATATATTTTTTATTATAGAGATAATATACAGAGGGGTTACAGTTACATGAGTAAGGTAATGAGTACATTTCCTATCAAGCATTGTTACCTCCTCCTTTGTTTTTCCCCTACCATCCCTTCCCTCCCTACCTCCCCAACTCCTCCCTCTCCCCCAGGTGATTCTTACAGATAACAAATACACACACTCTCTCTCTTCTATTGCTTTAGGGTTTTCCATGGTACCTGACACCATTAGAGAGTCTACTTATAACCTATCTGTTTTTATGGTCTGTTTCCTGTCATTAGAATGAATATTCTCATGAAAGGAGGGGCTTAAGTTTTATTCACTATTGTATTCCTAGCCCTAGATCGGGACCTACGACACTGTAGATTCTATTAAATAATTCTTGAACAAATGTTTGTTGAATGAAGGAATGTATGAATTCATGGCATTCAACTATAGGTTGCCAACCTATGTACACTGCTATACACCTTATATTTTTCTTACTACACACTCACTTCTTGTTGCAATTCTTTGAATGATTCAAGAGCTCTCTCAACTATACACTCTTTTCTACAGCCTCCTTTGATCTCTTAACCCTTTGTGATTTTCACCCTTTGAAGGCCTTCAGCTCTCTGTCTTCCTTCATGGCATAGTGTTCTCTCTTCGTTTGAATTCTGATTCTATGGTCTTACTCTCTGTGTGAGACTCTTACCCTCCTTAATGGCCGAGATGGTATCTGGCTCCCCCTTTGTTCTCCTGTGACTTTCCTAAGATGTCAGATCCTGCAGGCTCTCAGTAAACTTGGTTGAGCTGAGTAGAATGTGTCACCTCATTGGCATTGTCCCCAGAAACAGTGACTTACTCTTTCCATGGATACATCTTGTGAATAGAGCAACAAATAACAGTTCCCTGCTTTTGTCTATTTTTGTGCCCAGGAGAGACAACGACAGCTTGAGAGCATGGGGATTTCTCTGGAGACCTCTGGAATCAAAGTGGGGGATGATAAGTGCTACTTGGTCAACCTGAATGCAGACCCTGCTCTCAATGAACTTTTGGTTTATTATTTAAAGGTGAGAGAGTGTAAAAGTAGACAGAGCTGCAGTCCTGAATCATTCACATAATATTCCCAGTTGAACTTAGATGCCTGTCTCCATGATCTTGTTTTTTTTGAATCCATCACAACTGGCAATCGTAAAACAAAGGCCAGGCACTGGTGGTTCACGCCTGGAATGCTAGCTGCTCAGGAAGCTGAACTCTTAGGATTATGGTTCAGAGCCAGCACTGGCAGGAAAGGCCACAAGACTCTTACCTCCAGTTAACCTCAAGAAAAATGGAAATGACACTGTGGCTCAAAGAAAAGAGCTCAGGGACAGCTACTAAGCCCTGAGTTCAAGCCCCATGACTGACAAAATAAAAAAAAATTTTTTTAAATGAAAATAGGTGCCATTGTCTCCCACCTGTAATCCTAGCTACTTAGGAGGCTGCTATCTAAGGATCCAGGTTTGAAGCCAGTTTTGGCAAGAAAGTCTGTGAGACTCTTACTTCCAATGAACTACCCAGAAACCAGAAGTGGAGCTTCTGGCTCAAGTGGTAGAGTGCTAGTCTTGAGGACAAAAGCTGAGGGACAGTGCTTAGGCCCTGAGTTCAAGCCTCAGAACTGGTACCAAAAAAAGTAAAACAAAGGATAATATAGACTTTTACCATTGACAGTGAAAAACTCCAGTTGCACCTGAGCCTGGCAATTGGGGTAGATTCCCTGGGAATGCACGCATCAGAGGGATGCAGACGGCCAACGGATAGTGTCCAGGTGATCCTCACATACAGAAAGCCCCAAATGTGCAAGTGCCAGTGGCTCACGTCTGTAATCCTAGATACTCGGAAGGCTGAGATGTGGTTTGAAGCCAGCTGGGGCAGGAACCTCTATGAGACTCTTTATCTCAAAGTAAACACCAGAAAACCATAAGTGGCACTGTGGCTCCAAGTGGTAGAGTGCTAGCCTTGACCCAAAAAGCTCAGGGATAGCACCCAGACCCTGAGCTCAAGCCCTGTGATTGACAAAAAGAAAAAGACAAAGAAAAAAGAGAAGAAAGCTCCAAATGTGAGGTGACACAGGTTCTGAGACTCTGGGTTCAGCCAACCTGAGAAGCTCTGGAGGTTCTCAGTTATGTTCTGAGTGTAAGAGATCTAAAGAGCCACATGTGCTTACAATAAGGTCCAGTAACTACAGTAGACATCCTAGCTCTTCCAAGCCTGTCTTCTTTAAACTTAGGTCTTGAAGAAAGGACTGTTGCCTTCTAATCACCTCTTGCAGTTGTTACTTTGGCCTCATTATGCACTGACCATGTTGGATAGGTTATTGCACAGTCCCTGGCTCTAGAACCTACTCACACTCTTAAGAAGAATCCAGGATTCCAAAGAACTCTGTCTATGTTAATTGCATTAGTGCTTAAGACTGCAGACAGTTTGAAATTAATTTGACTTCAAAAGAACTACAGCATCACACATCCACTATGCATTCAGTATGACAGAGCAGAGGCAAATGGCATCTTACTATTTTTATTAAAGTAGTTTTGACTTCTTGGGCCTTTCTAAAGGTTTCAGAAATGCCAGATTGCCAGACAGTCCTTTAGTAACTGCTGGTTACTTTGTCAGTAAGCAGTAAGACATCTCAAACAAGACCTATGATTGAAAATAATATAGGGCATCCAATTGACCATTAGGGAAGGCATATCTAACCACACACACACACACACACACACACACACACACACACACACACACACACACTCTCTCTCTCTCTCTCTCTCTCTCTCTCTCTCTCTCTCATACTCATACACTCACAAGGTTATGGTAGTATGTAGAAATTATATGGAAGTTGGAAGGTTTAGGGACTGTGGCCTTGAAGGTAGTTCATATATACTGTCCACATACTTAAATGTGAATTACCTACTTATGAAAGGTTTCATGGACATCATTTTGTTCAAGATCCTGATCTTTCCCGGGAATATATAAAATGCAGTGGAGAATGAACTAGAGTTAATTAAATACAGGACTTCAATCTGCTGTGATCTTTTCTGTTCTATTTTTCCCAGATTAAATATGGTACAAATAGCCCATGACTTTTTGAGAGTCCATGAACCATCTTAAGATCTGTTCATTTAGGAAACAATTAGAGTGAAGAAATACTTTCTCAAATCTTAATTTTAGAAGACCAAGTCTTCTCTGTTGCATAGGAAAATATAATTAGGGAAATACTATTCTCTATGCAACAGAAAAGACTGGTTAACTGTTGTGAAGCAATAGATTAACGAGGGGTGGATGAACAGTGACTAGGCCACTGGTTGTGGTGATATTTGTGTGTTTGGGGTGTACTTTAGTTGCACTAATCTGCACAGCCACAGCACTCATATGTTGTTGTTGTTGTTTAAGTTAAGTGTGTTAAGGGTAAGCTTTTGAATTCTAATGATGCAGATCTCTAGCATGATTCTTTTTTTGGGGTGGGGAGGGGGGGCAGTCGTGGGCCTTGAACTCAGGGCCTGGGCACTGTCCCTGAACTTCTTTTGCTTGAGGCTAGCATTCTACCATTTGAGCCACAACACCACTTCTGGCTTTTTCTGTTTATGTGGTATTGAGGAATTGAACCCAGGGCTTCATGCATACTAGGCAAGCACTAGTATGATTCTTTTTTATATATTGTTATGTATATCTTGTTAGGTTATTCAGAATGATTGTGATCAGATTTCATTGACTTACTTGTAAGTCTGGGGTTTTCTTTTTCCTTTAAAATTGTATTGTTAGGATCACACCAGAGTGGGTGCAGATACCTCTCAGGATATCCAGCTCTTTGGTATAGGGATTCAACCTGAGCACTGTGAGATTGATATTGCTTCTGATGGAGATGTCACTCTGACTCCGAAAGAAAATGCAAGGTAGGAGAAATAAGCAGCAACTTCACATTCCTTTTGTGCCTTCTTTTCAGAAAGAGGAAGCTACCTCTTTGTAGGTTTTTTTTTTTTCTTCAGTTACATCAAAGTTCAGGATACACTAGATCTCTATGAGGTTTGCTTTCTTTTTATACAATAGTAAAACCACATTTAGAAGCCTCTAACTCTTATTATTAATAAAGACCTTTGTTGTCAGAGTTGAACTACTGCTATGAAGGAGTGATGATTTTCATTACATGAGTTCCAGTGCTCACTTACACTACAACTCTGAGCTTTAGAGGCTTATAGAGCTCAGGAACTCAGATAACACGACTATAGATGTAACTTACTAGAAAAATTAGAAGTCAAAATAATATCCATTATTTTCCTCCATCAAACTTTACCTTCTAACAAATTTAACTTTAATTAACAGACCGTTCCCCCAATAGTTTGTTTCTAACTTACCATCAAAACCTCCTTTATTGTGATGAGCTCTTCCTTGAATGTATGTCTTTTGATTTTTACAAAATTTGACCAGCTTTTTCCCTTTGGTGACATTTTCCATCTCCATCAGAATAGAGCGCATCATGTTAGGTCTTAGTGGGGTGGCCATCAGTGACATCATGGCGTAGACTGTCACAGTGTACAAATCATTATTCCTGCAGGTATTAGTTGAGATACGTCTATGAAGTGAAAGCTCTTTAGTTATCTCTGAGTGCCAGAGCAGAGTTTCATGCCCTTTTCTTGTTCCTGATGTTTTCCTTTGTGTTCCTTCAGGTCCTGTGTGAATGGCACCCTTGTGTGCAGTGTAACCCAGCTGTGGCATGGGGACAGGATCCTGTGGGGGAATAATCACTTTTTTAGGTAACATCTTCGTGTGCTCTTGTATTTGCATAGCATTTTTTCCACTTTATCTAGTGACGTGCAAATAAGTTGATTTTCTCTAATGGTGAACACCCACACAGAATTAATTTACCTAAGAGGAAACGACGAGATTGGTTGAGAGACTTGGAGAAGGAAACAAGTCCTGCCGAGCATGACGTGGATGCGGCCAGTGAGGCTTCCTCAGAACCAGACTATAACTATGAATTTGCCCAGATGGAAGTTATCATGAAGACCCTGAATAGTAATGGTGAGACGCTAGCCCTGAATTCCAGCCTCCCTGTTACCAAGTATTAAGGCAGCATTTGGGGATGAGAACTATCCTCCAAGGATGAAGTTGAGGCTACTCTCAGGAACACCTGAGGAAATGAATTTGTGGACTTGGTCCAAGCCCACTGTCCCCCTTGAGTGTCCCTGCGGTACTGAAGGATCCAGTTTGAGCCAAGGAGGAACCCCAGGATCAGAGAGCCTGAGACAGCTTCTAACCGATAGTGTGCTCAGAGAGCCTTTTGTTGTTCAGAGTTCAGCTTTGCTCTTCAAGAGTGACTGTCTCCTTCTACTCTGAATAAGTATCTCTGGGAGGAATTTGATCAAGACTGGAGAATTGTCAGGTCTCTGTCATGAAACTGAGGATTCTGTAAAGATTTTGACCTTTTTTTTTTTTAATTTATCTCTTTATGGACTTTTAGCCTCAGGAACCCTTTTATAAAAGGTAAAGACAAGACTTTGAAAATTAAGCATAGTGTCTTTATGTAGAGTATAGGACCATGAAAAGAACATGATGTTACAAAAGAAGTTTGGGCATCTCTGTCTATACAGTGTTTCGATTAGATACTAGGCCTTTTGACACTGCTGTGCAAGGTAGGCTTTAGCTGAAAATCCAGTTGCAGGATGCTCCCACTTACCCACTAATGGAGAGGACTCCCAAAGACCTGCCAAAGTGGTGTTGAGTCATCAGAATCACATTAATGAGTATTTCACAACATACCTGAGCAACAAGTCTCTTGTGAATGATCTTTCAGAAGCTCAAGTAGATTCATGTTGCGACAGGAAGTGCAAAGAGGGTGTGAGCTCCCAATTCCAGATAGAGGAGTAGCCTAGTGAAGAGAGTTTATTTTGTCAAAAGAGGCAATAGAATTCTGGATAACCATTCTTTAGCTCTGCAGACTATATACACACCAGGTATCCGTTTGATCATTTATCTATCCCAGATCTCAGGCTTATCACATATAAGAGGAACCAATAAATAGCATTCATTAATTCCTCCCTCCTTTGACCCAGACCTATTAGAATCTTTGGTGGTCTGTGGTATTAACAAGCTATTTCTTTGCATCCTGGATCAGGCCTTGCTCTCCAGTATTGACTTTTGTCAATGAAAAACGAATGGTTCCCTTTCTCTCCTTTTCCCCAATTCCACCAATAAATGGAACTTCCTTCTGTCTGGGGTACAAATTGCTCTGACACAAGAGTTGGGGTGCTGATGGCCAACAGTGTTCACAGGGTTCCCCTCTCCTGCTTAGGTGGATTCCCGGTAGTAAGCCTGTCTGCCTGGTGGTCGTCCCCGTGGTGGTCTTATTTGAAGATCCTTTTCCCTCTCCTGTGGTTTCAGACGAAGCTCCTCCACAAACACTGGGACAAAGGTTATGAATGGACTGGTGTTAGCATGAGAGCTTGGCTGGTTTCTAGCAGTGCTGCTGATGGACGCTTGCGCTACATGCCTGGGAAGAAGCAGAAGCTTCATGCCTGACAGAGTTGCTCTACATTTGTGGTGGGAAACATGCCTGCCATGTCCCAACCCAACTACCTTCCTAGTGATTAAAATCTGACAAGAGGTCCTTCCCCTTTTGTAGCCAACTGCATAGAGAAGGATGATTGCTACTGTTACTAACGGCTTTCTTGCTCTTGAGAACATGACAGTTCAGAACAGCAGTACTCCTGATAGAGTCACATCCATTTTCCCAGAAATACCCAAGAATAATGTGGTTTTGAGCCTCTAGAGTAAATATTGGTCTACCAGCCAATTCATTTGAATTTAAAAGTTAAAAAAAATCCACCTAGGATCTATAAACAATAATTGCCTTCTTCCCAAGGGCTCATGATAGAAATTAGATACTCATCTCTTCCCAATTTCAGTGCTAACTAGCTCTACAGGGGTGAACTAATGAGGAGCTGGCCAAGGTCATAGAGCCCATTTATTCCATTTAGGATTTAAAGGTTCTTCTTTTGCTTTGGACATCTGGGAGTATAACTTTCAATACTCTTTCCCACATAAATTTTCTCCTACCAGTACTACTACCACCATCCTTCCTTCCATTCACTGGATGGGAGATTACTTTGAGCTCATTTCAAAGACATCTCCCAGGGAAAGAATGAAGTAATGAAGAGGGTGTATTTATACTACCAAAATAATAACACTGTCCTTTCTTTCTCCTTAAAAGATATTAACTCTTTGGTTTCTTGGCTTAAATACCAGGCTCACTGCATTTTAACACTGTTCATTTGAGTTCTTTTTTTTTTTTTTTGGGGTCCAGTCGCGGGGCCTGAACTCTGGGCCTGGGCGCTTTCCCTCAGCTCTTCAGCTCAAGGCTAGCGCTCTACCACTTGAGCCACAGCGCCACTTCCGGCTTTTTTCTTTTTGCTTATGTGATGCTGAGGAATCGAACCCAGGGCCTCAGGCATGCAAGGCAAGCGTTTTACCATTGAGCCAACTTCCCAGCCCAACACTGTTCATTTGAAAGGAAAGTAGGCTAGGGTGTATCTCAGAGCCCTGAGTTCAATCCCCAGACTTGGCAAGAGAAGAGAGGAAGGGAGAAGAAGAAAAGGAAAGTGAAGCGGTGAAACAAAGCTGGGCAATCTCCTGATATCTGACTGAGTCATTAGAGAACAGGACAGATGATCCTTAGCTTCTGTCCCATATTATACAGTCAGATTGCCTTGCCAATTAATTAGGATGATCTATTAAACATGCTGGATAGTGGCAAAGGGTTCAAATTGATTGATAGGAGGGAGAGGTGTTTTAAGATGTCTCTGACAAAGGTGTTTTTGGGAGCCCCTAACCCTCTACAGGGGCCGTGGTGAGTCTCAAGAAGATGAACCTGAGAGTGTGCTGGGGCCATCACAGGCTCAGAAGTCTCTGTTGCTCTCTCTTCCATCTCTGAGCATTGGATTGTGGCCCCTGGTGCATAGCAGTTATACTGTATCATAATAGCAAGCATGAGGCCAAGTTCAAGCCATTCCAAAACAAACAAAAGGAATTTTTCCATGAGATGATACATTCAAACCGTCTAGTCCCTCTACTGAAACATCACCAGTAGCCTTTGTGTTTCTCACTTTTATTGAAGCAACTCACCCATATAAGCACATCTTGTGATATTTTTTCAAAGGCTCTTTTTTGTTTTGGATTATTTAACCCTAAAGTTATGTTTTTCTGTTACCGCTCATATAGAAACTTGGTATAATTTACATCTTTATTTTATACACTAATGCGGGTATTTTGAAAGTTGGTCAGTAGCCATAATAAGGTTATGTAAAAATTCCTCCTGAGGAATACCTCCTGAAACTGAGAACTAATGCGTGGAAAGACAGGCCAGATGGCACTGAATAGCAGGCAACTGTGTGAACCTGCAAGGAGGAAAGTATATCCCAGGCATCCCCTCCCAAGCCCACCAATTGGGGAGAAATATTCATTGTTGTGGTGGTTTTCTTCTCATACCCTCTAGTCTTTCTAGCGTACTGTCTTCCTGCAGTCTACTTATTGAAGGAAGTTGAAATTTTGTTTATGTTGCCAGTGACCTAATCTGTCTCCTTGGCATCCCACTGATTGGTCTAACTAGTTCTTTGGAGTCAAGTCCTGCCATGTACCACAGCTACCACTAGTGTTTGTAGCTACTCCTTTGAGCAAGAGCTGTTGGCATGTCTGACCCTACTCAGCTGTGTGCATGGGAGGGAGCTCTAGATCTGAACCAATATGACACCAGAAGCAGGATTTTGTTATTTTAGCAATTGCCCTCTTAGTAGCACCTGAGAAATTGCCATAATCATATGCTCAATAAATAATACCTTCGAATACATGCTATGTTTTTTAAGTTTGCTCCCACCATAGAGAAATATAAAAGTCATGAAATTTGTGAAAATCTGGTCATAGACCAGAACGCATGTTAAATGGGCATAGAAGTAACTGCGGCACAAATCCAGTCATGCCTACTTTTATCCATGGGGCTGCCTTAGATTTTATAGAATTTTTATAGAATTTTTCTTCTCATGTATAGGATCACTTCCCCTTTTCTTCCATCACCTGATAGTAGAATGGATTTGGCAAGCTGAAGAAACTCAACAGTGGTTGTGGAGAGAGTTTATCTGAAATGTTAGTAAAAGGATACAGGATTTCACCTCTGAGCCCCTCAAGCCTCTGACATGAAACACATACTGTCTGGCGGGAAATGATTCTGGTTGGAAAAAGCCAGGACAGAGTTCAGTGCCCATGTGGAGACCTGTCTTATCCACCCGTTGCTTTTCTCTTGGCTCACCAGACCCAGTTCAAAATGTAGTTCAGGTCCTGGAGAAGCAATACTTAGAAGAGAAGAGAAGTGCCTTGGAGGAGCAGCGGCTCATGTACGAGCGAGAACTGGAGCAACTCCGCCAGCAGCTCTCCCCTGAGAGGCAGCCACAGAGCAGTGGGCCCGACCGCCTGGCCTACAGTAGCCAGACAGCCCAGCAGAAGGTCACTCAGTGGGCGGAGGAGAGGTAAGAATGGCAGGCCAGCAACCCAGAGATAAGGTCCAGGGCCCACAGCCTGATGAAGACCTATCAATGGGGTCAAACATCACAAAGAAGGAAATTGTAAGTCAGGCACCAGTGGTTCATGCTGCAATTCTAGCTATTCAGGAGGCTAAGATCTGAGGATCATAGTATGAAATCAGCCCAGGCTAGAAAGACTGTGATATCCTTATCTCTGATGAATCACCCAAAACCCGGAAGTGGAGCTGTGACTCAAGTGGTCAAATGCTAGCTTTGAGCAAAAAAGCTAAGGGACAGCATCCAGGTCCAGAGGTCAAGCCTCAGTACTGGCATACAAAAGAAGGGGGACTACGCTCATATAATTGTAACCCCTCTGTGCGATACTTTCACAATAAAAAATAAAAGAAGGGGGAAAAGGAGGAAATCATAGTCCCATTTCTGATTTGATACTTGGCTTTTCCTTTCATAAATATTTTTCATCCTAAATTTGCTGTAGTTAAACACCATCTTGTTCACAATCCCATTCTTTTTCCTTCAGTAAAAATGGAATCATGTTGGAAAACTTAAGACAGTTACTGAAATAGAAGACATTTGAATGTCTTTAACAGGGGGGAAAAAAAACCCTCCCCATTTTTCTTTTTTTAAATTTACTTGCAATTCTATTTAAATAAAATTTAGGGGTGAGATTCTTTTAAATGTGAGTTTTCAAGATTTATGACTTTAGCCAGATGCCAGTGGCTCACACCTGTAATCCTAGCTACTCAGGGGGCTGAGATCTGAGGATGTGGTTCAAAAACAGCCTAGGCAGAAAAGTCTATGAGATTCATCTCCAATTAACCACCAGAAAACAGAAAGTAGAGTTGTGGCTCAAAGTGGTAGAGTACTAGCCTTGAGCAAAAGAGCTCAGGGATAGTGTTCTGGCCCTGAGTTTAAGCCCCATGACCAACCAAAAGAAAAGAAAAGAAAAAAAATATATATATATGATTTTAATTGAGCATGGTAGTACATACCTGTAACCCTGGACACTGAGCAGTTTTGTTCAATAGGAAGTATGATTTTATGATTACATCCTTTTTGTGTTCTCCCCTAGAAAATATGTTCCGGGGACAGGATATCCATTTCATTCATTGAAGTATCCCTAGTGCTCAGAACGAGGTTACATGTTAGGTATTTAGTGCTTTCTCTTTGTATTGATAGTATGAAGTTACTAACATAATGAGCACATATGCGATTGTTAAGTATGCCAAGTAAGTTGATGAATTATTTAATGGAGGACATGACTATGGTAATGGGTCTTGTATGGAAAGTTTTGTGGAGAAAGGAGGATTTCAAGTGAGCATGAAAGGGGTAGGGTTTGCATATGTGGAGGGAAGATAGGAGTGATTGTATTGGTCTTCCTTTTAGCTTCTTTCTTTTTAGTGCTGAGGTGGAACCCAGGGCCTTGCACATGCTAAGTGTGCCCACATCTACTAAACTACATTCCAGCCCTGGTAGGAGGACATTTAGCCAGGAGAGTTTACATAAACAGGTAGAAACCAAGGAGAGGGGTTAAGGTGTATTTTGGGAGATTTAGCAGGTTGTAAGAGAACTATTTTGTTCAGAAAGTTATATAGAGAGGAATAGGGACATATTAATTGTACAGGGAAGGATGTTGCACTGTGAACATAATTGCCTTAGTTCACTTCCTTTTCTGCAATACCACAGGGATGAACTGTTCCGGCAAAGCCTGGCCAAACTACGAGAGCAGCTTGTTAAAGCAAATACCCTAGTGAGGGAAGCAAATTTCCTGGCTGAAGAAATGAGCAAGCTTACTGATTACCAGGTGACTCTTCAGATTCCTGCTGCGAACCTCAGTGCTAACAGAAAGGTAAGCATATCTGTAGAGAAGAGGAGAGCGAGAGGTACCCTAGCAAATACTATGACCTGAAGTCCGGGTGTTTACCCTTGGTAAGCCCTCCTGTGTGCACCTCCCTGGGTAGGAAAGCTGTCAAAACAATAAACAGTGCCCTCCCATTTGTCAGAATGTGGAGAATCATGGTGACTTGCTAATTTTAAATGCTTTCTTTGAAAGAGTGGAACTAGGTTATAAATAAATAACTCTGTCCAGTGCCAGCTTTTTCTTGCATGTAAATGTCCCCTTCGGAAGTGGGGATGTGGTAGGTGATTTTTTTCATATAGTACCTTTCTGAGAGTTCATTCTGTTAGAAAGGAAGATAACTGTGATGCTTGTCTTCATATTCTTGGTAGTTGCTTGGAAGGTTCTTGTCATTTAACTTGGAGAAATTTTCCTGAAAAGGAGAGTAATTTTTCATTCATTATTTTTCTGTCTAGAGAGCAAGACTATAGGGCTTAGACATGTCACAAATATGTCACAAAATTGAAAATCCTGGTTTGTTGGGTGACTTAGTAGTGACTCAGGGTAATTTAGCTGGTAACTTAGTAGTCTAAGTCCCTTAGGCATGGAAGTGTACATACTTTGATATTCTTTATATACAAGGGTACTGTTAGAGTTAAAAATCTGACAAGATGCTTACAATAGGAAAACCTGGAAAGACACATGATAGAATGTGTGGCAGATATATTTGATGGATTGCTATGCTGTCACTAAAATCATATTTATGAAGAATGTTGATTGAGAAGAAAGTGGTTCCAATTTAAACAATGGAGAAAAGATTGGGATGTGAAATTATATTGTTACTTGGTGTGTTGTGAGAAAAGGGGCATGTATAAATATAAGTATATGAGCTCTAGTAATCAAAAGAGAAGTGACAGGAAGTGGCACTGTGGCTCAAGTGGTAGAGCGCTCACCTTGAGCTGAAGAGCGCAAGGGCAGCGCCTAAGCCCAGAGTTCAAGCCCCACGACCGACAAACAAAAAAAAGAGAGAGAGAGAAGTGACAGTAATGTCCATTCTGTACGTCTCGTTTTGTTGTGCAGAGAGGTGCAATAGTGAGTGAGCCCGCCATCCAAGTGAGGAGGAAAGGGAAGAGCACCCAAGTCTGGACCATTGAGAAGCTGGAAAATAAGTTAATTGATATGAGAGACCTTTACCAAGAATGGAAGGAAAACGTTCCTGAGGTAAAAGAGACAAAATACAAAGGAAATTTTGTTAGACTTAAGAGCAAAAATCATAAATGATGTAACCACTATACACGTGCATTTACACACACACACACACAGTGATACTTAGGACATGTGTGTTAGGTACGTAAGATAAAATGGTCTTGACAGGAATGCTGAATGGGGTCGGTACTATTTACATGGAGAAGAACAGAATGAAGAGCACACAAAGCAGATTCTTATTTGGCTTCATTTTTTACCTCGTTCTAGCAAAATGAAGTGGGATGAAGTATATGGACACAGTTTTGTTTGTGACTTGCAGAATCAGATTTGGTTAGTGCCAGCCTGGATTTCCTATTCGTTCTTGGTTGTTCAGGCACCTCTAACTGTGATCACAGCTGGGGAGGTTTTAAGTCATTTGCTATGCAGAACCTGTTTTTCCTCACATCAGTAATAGGAAGAAGACTTGCAAAGTTGAGGAGGCAAGCACAGGGAATGCACTGGAAAAGGCTGCGGGCGGGGCGGGAGGGGGAGGAGGAGGCTGAGCACAGCACTTGGGCATCACATAGCTCCTCTCTTGACCGCTGCCTGTGTTTTATGAATGGACCTGATTCTCATTTTACTTTTTTATTTCTATAGTTATATTCCTTTAAACTCCTCATAATGCTAGTTTTTCACTGCACCTACCACTCAGGCAAAGAGACTGTATGGGAAACGAGGCGACCCTTTTTATGAAGCCCAAGAGAATCACAACCTGATAGGTGTGGCAAACGTGTTCTTGGAATGCCTGTTCTGTGATGTAAAACTTCAGTATGCAGTGCCTATCATTAGCCAGCAGGGGGAGGTAAGTGAGGGATGCTGCCGAGAAAATGTTCCAGGCTCTCAATGTTGCTGTGTGTGTGTGTGTGTGTGTGTGTGTGTGTGTGTGTGTGTGTGTGTGTGTGTGTGTGTTTGTGTGTGTGTGTGTGTGTGTGTGTGTGTGTGTGTGTGTGTGTGTGTGTGTGTGTGTTTAAGCTTTGTCTTAAATAGACCCGGAAAGTAGGGCATGGTGATCTGTATGTGGTAACCCTCTGGAATGTTCTGCTCTAAGCTAATGGCCAGAATTGCTTTTCTCCATGTTAAAAATGCATACAACTTATCTGGCAAAGAGATCCAGAGGGTAAGGCCCTTGCTCAGGGCTTCTTAACTTGGGATCATAGTGGACTCTGGGTATTCTGTGAATTCCCCTAAAATTATATTTTAAAAAGTATATTATTATTAAAAATGCTTGGATCACTGTCTCCTAGCTGATTTATTTTCTTTTTTCAACCTGAACATTACTTCCTCCAAATTTGTCTAACTTACCAAATGTCATTGACCAATTCCTCTTACATCCTTGGTCCCAGTGCCAGTTGCTATGTGATCTACCTCTAAAATAGCCCTCACTCTTTAAGGTGACAACAGCACAACCAAAACTGTCATGTTTACAACCATAGTTATCACAGACTCAAACTGGATAGTGAAAGATAACTCCACCAATGATGACACTCCAAGAAAGCAACTCAGAATAATCCCTATTCTTTAAGTACAGTTCTGTGTAAGCTGTAAGAGGAGCTGTGTCTACCAACTCCTATTCAGAGACCTGCCCCTATGATGGGAAAAATGTAATGCATTTTTAATGAAAAACAGTATTCTTGGAGCCCAATATAGTGGTATCTGCTTATAAACCAGCACCTGAGAGACTAAGGCATCTTGAGTTCAAGGGATCTTGAATTCAAGGCCAGCCTGAATTACCAAATGAAAAACATAACTATTTCTTTATCCTGCTTCCATCCCTACTCTGAATTGCAAAACATTTTTTGTTTTTGCCAATATTGGGATTTGAACTCAGATCCTTGCCCTTGCGTGGCTTACTTGGCTGATGCTCTACAACTTGAACCATGACTCTAGCCTGGGTTTTTGCTGGTAGAAATTGAGTCTCATGGACTTTTCTGCCTAGGATGGCCTTGGACTGTGAATCTGCAGATCTTAGCCACCTGAGTAGCTAGGGTTTCAGGTATGAGCCTCTGGGTGTTTGGCTTGCATGCTGTTCTTGATTGCAGGAGCCCATAGGGCTCATAAACCTGGTATTTGGTTTACTATTGTAATTACAGGGCTTAGCACAGTTCTTGGCACCATCAATTCTCAGTAAGTACTTGCTGAGTAGATAAGTTAATTCTACACATATTTATCCTATCCTTATACATATCTGTGTCCACAACTAGTTTATATTATTATTATTGTTGGTTTTTGACTTCTCCCTGTCTTTCTGCAATTGACCGTGAGTTTTCTGATGGCAGGACCCACAACTTGATGTCTCATTGAGACTAAGTGTCTGATCAAATGAAAAGGTTAGTGAAGCATTTGACCAAATGAATATACAAACAAATATAAATATATAAACAAACATGGGGAAGGGGAATTTCCAGGTAAAAATGAGAGTTGAGTCTCAGCTATTCCTACACTGACCTGAAAATGGGTACAAGTGAGGATATTCCAGAAGTCAGGTTGCAAGGAGGCAAATTCAGCTCAACACAAAGCAGGAAGGTTATGGAGGCAAGCCATAGGAGTGTGGGTTTCTCATGGTTGGAGATGGCGAGGCAGAGCTGCAGAGCACAGAGCTGCTCAGTGTGCTTCTATCTAAAGTCATTGTGGCCTGTGGGATGCCTTTGAACCTCAAAGTGCTCTGGGTCTTTGACCCAGGTTGCAGGGCGTCTCCACGTGGAAGTGATGCGTGTCACAGGAGCTGTTCCAGAGCGTGTGGTGGAGGATGACTCCTCAGAGAACTCCAGTGAAAGTGGGAGCCTGGAGGTAGTAGACAGCAATGGAGAGATCATTCACCGAGTCAAAAAGCTGACATGCCGGGTAAGTGGAAGCAAAGACTTTTTACTGTTTCAGCGTTTTACCAAAGCATAAATGAGTTTCTCGTCCAGCATCATACATCTGCTGTCTGACAGCAGATAGAACTTTCTCTAGAAGGGTAAAAAAAAAATGTATTTGCATGTTTAGTATAAGCACCATTTTATTTCCAAATATTTTCAGTCTCCTGGTGGCTAATAGAGTCAGAAGCATCTATGTATTTACAAGGAGCCTATATTTCAAGGTGCATTGTGTTTTTCAAATAAATTTTCCATCTATATCAGAAACTTAGTCATTCAGAAATTTCACAGGGGTGTGTGCATCTGTTTTATGGTTAGAGAAAGATGGTGCAGATTTCATGGTAGACAGGACACTTCACGAGGTGGCGTCAAATGGATGTCTGATTTAACCCATCACCTCTTCAATTTGAAATAACAGGAAGTAGAAAATAATGTAGAAACTAATATGGCCTTCACAGGAATTGTATTTCACTTTTTTTTTTTTTTTGCCCCTCTTTTCAGGTAAAAATTAAAGAAGCAACTGGACTCCCCTTAAGCCTGTCCAATTTTGTCTTCTGTCAATATACGTTCTGGGACCAGTGTGAGTCTACGGTGGCTGCCCCGGTGGTGGACCCAGAGGTGCCATCACTGCAGTCCAAGGATGTGCAGTATGCGGTGACCTTCTCTCACTGTAAGGTACAAACAACATCACCCAATGTACTGTGGGGCCAGGTACAGCGCAATGGGACAGTAAGGCTTAGTGTGCCATAGAGCCAGGGTTCCACTCCATAGTAAGTAGCAAAGCAACAGCAGTGACTATAGAGAGAACTATATTGAGCTTTTGACTTCTTCCTGTTTTTCCACAATTGACCATGAGTTTTCTGATGGCAGGACCCACAACTTTATCTTTTTTTTTTTTTTTTCCCTCAGTCCTGGGGCTTGAACTCAGAGCCTGAGCACTGACCTGAGCTTCTTTCTGCTCAAGGCTAGCACTCTACCACTTGAGCTGCAGTGCCACTTCCGGCATTTTTTACTTATGTGGTGCTGAGGAATCGAACCCAGGGCCTCATGCATGCAAGGCAAGCACTCTACCACTGAGCCACCTTCCCAGCCCAACAATCTTATCTTGATGTCTCATTGAGACTAAGTATCTGATCAAATGAAAAGGGTAATGAAGCATTTGACCAAATGAATATATAAACAAACACGATAAATATATAAGCAAACATGGGGAATGGGAGTTTCCGGGTAGAAAATGATAGTTGAGTCTCAGCTATTCCCATGCTAACCTGAAAATGGACATAAATGAGATTATTTTCAGAAGTCAGGTTGCAAGGAGGCAAATTCAGCTCAACACAAAGCAGGAAGGTTACAGGGGCAAGCCATGGGAGGGTGGATTTCCTGTTGCATATGGAGTTGTGTACAGTTATGAAAATGAATTAGAACTTGCAAGTTTTTCCCATGAAGATTTTTGTTGAACATACTATCTTAACTGGACTGTGTAATCTCATGACAAATCCAAAAATTTTAGAACTACAGAAAATGAAACATCTCAACCTCTAGTCTTCCTCCTCAGAAACAGAAACATAAGTGAGTTTGCTCACTTTCTCTCTTGTGTTTTGGGTGGTTTTTCTTGTTGTTGTTGTTGTTGTTTGTTTTGGGAGGGTCAGTTATGGAGTTTGAACTCAGGGCCTGGGCAGTGTTCCTGTGTTCTTTTGCTCAAGGCTAGTGCTCTACCACTCTAAGCCATAGCTTGTGTGCACACATAACTTCAGATGGACGCTCTACCTCGTGAGCCATGCACCTAACTCCTACACAGAACTTGTTTTAAGTTTTTTACAAAAGTGGCTCATGTTATGCACATTGCAGCATTATGGTCCTGTAACATGTAAGTTGCAGATATTTCCTGTTTTAAATGCAGCATAGCATTCTAAGCACAGCATACAGTACTAATTCTTAAAGACAATATGAAATGGAACCTGTGGACTTTAGAGCGAACTCTGGCTGGATCGACTGTGAGAGCAAACTCTGGCTGGATCAACTGTGAGATATCACCAGCCTTCTTGGTTTTCAGTTGAGACTGTCAACAAGTCACTTCTTAAAGATCAACTCAAAGATCAGGATGCTCTAGGCTCTTTCTTGTGTAAATCATGCCTATTCTTTCTGGCTCTACACACAGAGCCATCTGTGTGTTTTAGAATGAAGAATTGGGGTGGGAAAGCTTCAGAGCAACAGCATAGATCATGAAGATAACTCACAGATAATTTAGTTTTGGTACTAGTCTTCTATCCATGGCAAGTCCGTGACAGCTAAGCAAGCCAGACTGCTACCAGGGAACTGAGAATGAGCCAAGAGTGAGAGAAGCAAGATCCAGCTCTGCAACTAAAGCAAGAAATTATACTTAAGACAAGTCGCATTCTCCAGTTTTCTCATTTATGACAGAAAGGGAGGTTGAAACCGAGTATGCTGGTGCATGCCTGTAATCCCAGCCCTTTGGAAGGCAGAAATAGGAAGAACATGAGTTAAAGGTCAGCATGGACTTCATAGCAATACCCTATCACAAAATGAAATTAACTGGCCTTATAATTGTCCCTCCAGATCATATGTTGTATGGTTTTCTGTATGGTTTCCTGTAAAATAGAAAAAATAAGTTTAAGGTTGAGATCAAGCTAATATCCCCAAAGTAAATCTGTCTGTAAGTAAAACTTGGAAGGGAAATTGCACAGACTCCTCCTGCATAATGCTTGCTGTGTTCTCCTCCCTACCCCTCCTCTCAGGATTACGTGGTGAACGTCACGGAAGAATTCCTGGAGTTTATTTCGGAGGGAGCACTGGCAATTGAAGTGTGGGGCCACCGGTGTGCTGGAAATGGAAGCTCTATCTGGGAAGTTGACTCTCTCCATGCAAAGACAAGAACGCTGCATGACAGGTATAAGTACAGGTTGAGACTGGCACTTTAACAGTGATTAAGAATACAGGCTAAGCTGGGTGCCAGTGGTTCATGCCTGTAATCCTAGCTACTCAGAAAGCTAAGAGATCTGAGGATCACAGTTCAGAGCCAACCCAGGCAGGAAAGTCCATGAGACTCTTATCTCCAATAAATCACCAGAAATCTGGAAGTGGTACTGTGGCCCAAGTGGTAGAGCGCTAGCCTTGAGCTGAAGAGCGGAGCGACGCGCCCAGGCCCAGAGTTCAAGCCCCATGACCACCAACAACAAAAGAATACAACTATGGGGCACCCATGGCTCATGTCTATAATCCTAGCTATTCAGGAAGCTGAGATCTGAGGATCATGGTTTGAAGCCAGCCTGGGCAGGAAAGACTATGATACTCTTATCTTTAGTTAACCACCAAAAAGCCAGAAGTAGAACTATGGCTCCAGTAGTAAAGTGCTCACCGTTAGCAAAAGTGCTCAGAAACAGTGCCCAGGCCCTAAGTTCAAGCCCCAAGATGATCTCAATCAATCAATCAGTAGGATATAGGATATGATCCCAAGATCCCAATCACCGCTAATGTTAGTTTGGACAAGTTACTTAGCCTCTCTGAACCTGTTCCCTCCTCTGCAAATGAGAATGACAGAAGGAATCAGTAGGCATCAAAGAAATATAATTTAATAAAGGTAAGCTGGAAAGAAGACTATGACACGCCGCCCCCCCCCCCCCCCACACACACACACGGACAATGTCAACCTTGATCTTACTGTATACCATACACAAAAATGGACTTGACATGAATTCCAACTTCGGATGTAAAAGTTAAAACTTGGCCTGCCAAGTATGATGCCCCAATTGTAATCCCAGATACTCAGAAGGCAGAGATCAGAAGGATCATGATCTGAGGCCTACCTAGTCAAAACATTTGTGAGACCCAATGTAGGTGTGGTGGTACCTTCTATTTAGGTATGTGTGGGAGGTATAGGTAGGAAGATGGCTCTAGGAGACCAGTCTCATGCAAAACATTGGTACCTTATCCAAACAATAAATAAAGCAAAAAAGGGTTGGGAACATGGAACATCTTTTTAGCAAGAGTATTTCCCTAAGTAAAAATCCCAATACCACCCCAAACAAACAAACTCTGTGTGTGTAAAATGTGATGGAAGAAACAGTAGGGATTTTGGTGTTTTTTTTTTTATTTGTTGACTTTGGGGGTTTGGGTTTTTTGGTTGTTGTTTATTTTTTTGTAGTCCTGGCTGATCTTAAACTTGAGCAATCCTCTAACCTCTGCTTTCCATGTGCTGGGATTACAGATGGGCAATTCTAGGCATCATCTAGGGAAATATTTTTTTTTGTTTTTTGTCAGTAGTGGGGCTTGTAGGGAAATATTTTTATGATTTAGACATGGTCACAGATTTGCAGAGAGGCCACAGAAAGCTCTGACCATAGAGGAAAACATTCTTGTTAGACTTCAATACCATTCAAAGCTTAGCTTATTAAAAGGCATCACTATGAACATACATGGGCAGGCTACTGTCTGGAAGAAAGCTGGATCGTTTGTTGTGAAGTTCATCATTTGCCTCTTCATTGAGCCAACAATCCCACATGTAGGTATTTACCCAAGAGAAAGGAAACCTGAAGTACGTCCTTACAGTTGTACATGAATATTCATGGCAACTTTGTAGTACCTCGAAATTAAACAACCAGGAGGCCTTCAGTGGACAAATGAACACATTGTCATATTACTCATACAGTAGAATATTTTGGCAGCATTAGTAAAGGACAGTTTACAGATTTGTGTGGATCTCAAAACCATTATGCCAAATAAGAGAAGCCAGTCACGAATTTATACTGCATAATTCCATTGATAGGAAAGCAGGTGGAGATAATCTATAAGAAATGCCAAGCTGCTACAGGAATGTGGGGACTGGAACAGTAGTAGACACTAGCAAACTTTTAAGTCTATACCCTAGGGATGTTTGAGAGTTAAATGTGTTTGTGTGATAAAGCTGACATGGGCCTAGAGCATAGTAAATGCTCCGTAAATGATAGCTTGCCACTTCTTTAATCGTGTCCCTGGGTGACCTACCTTTGCTGCTTGTGGGGATGTGTTTTTGCAGGTGGAATGAAGTCACTCGAAGAATAGAAATGTGGATTTCCATACTAGAGTTGAATGAGTTGGGGGAATACACTGCAGTGGAACTTCATCAAGCAAAAGATGTCAACACAGGCGGCATCTTTCAGCTTAGACAGGTACTAAGATTGTTTTTCTCTTTGCCTGTTATTATTATTATTATTTTGCCAGTCCTGAGGTTTGAACTCAGGCCTGGTTACTGTCCAGGCCTGAATTGTTGGTGTTTTTTTTGTGGCTCCAAGCTAGCATTCTAATATACTTAAGCCACAGCTCCACTCCCGGTTTTCTGATTGTTAATTGGAGATAAGAGTCACAAACTTTCCTGCTTGGGCTGGCTTCAAACTGCGATCCTCAGATCTCAGCCTCCTGAGTAGCTAAGACTATACGTGCGGGACACCAGAGCCTGGCCTAGAATTTTTCTAATTATTTGAGTTTCTGTTCCCTAATTCTTTACCTTTCCCTTCTTCCCTTCCCATATTCCTGACCTCCCTATCCCACCTTGCAGGGTCACTCACGTCGAGTACAAGTCACAGTACAGCCTGTACAGCATTCAGGGACATTGCCACTCATGGTTGAAGCCATATTGTCAGTATCCATTGGCTGTGTAACTGCCAGGTCCACCAAACTCCAAAGAGGGCTGGACAGTTACCAGGTAAGATAGATTTAAAATAGTACTAACAAAGATTGGGAGCTGGCAGGTGGCTCAGTGGTAGAACTCTTGTTTTGTAGCCTTGAGGCCCTGGGTTCCATTCCTTACACTTGGAACAGTAAGAAAGATGGGATGATGCAGAAGGGGGGAAATGAATGACCCATAATGGGACCTATTTAGGGAGATTAAAAAACTCCTTGTCCTGGCTCCTTTCTTCTCCCAGTTCACATTTCCATTCATTGCCTTTCTTTCTAGATTTAAAATATTATGTTTGCCTAGTTCTAATTAGTAGTAATTTTATTTATAAAGATACTGATGAAAGCTAGACAGGTTTTATTTTATAGCTAGCCCAAACTGTTGGATATTTGGTGTTGCTGCCTAGCCTCAACTTACTTTTATTAATACCATACCTAATGATAACACCATAAACTAAATCATGATTTTTGCTGGCTAATTGAAAGAGTTCTTGTTTTCTTGTCTAAAATGATGACATAAATGTAGTAATTCTCGGAGGTTCTTTTCTGCAGTAAAACATTGTATGTAGCTTAAGAAGTTTTTGCTGTTTGATAGAACAGTTTATATATCTTAAACAGTGACCTTTACAGAATGAGTTCCATCACTTGGCTAAACATTCTTTTTTTAGTGTACTCTTTTTTAAATTGTAATGAGCCACTTAATTGCAAGCTTTACTGCTTTTTTTTTTTTAACAAGCAGTCTGTCTTCGTGATCACTTTCATCCATTAAATCTTCATCTCCTAAATCTTATCTTCATATTTAAAAAAATAAAAAGATGAAATCCCCTAAGAATTGACTTTCATGGGATTGGTGAGACCTCTTCTGGACTCCTTGAGGATAAACTCTAGTTATGAACTTCATCCCCACCCTTACCTGCCTAATGGGCATCGTGAGCTTCACTAGATGTGAGTTCAGACAGGAAAGAATCGTGGTTTAATCCTGCGCCCTTGCTGCCCTGCCCTGTGTGATAGGAGCACTCTCCCTGCTTTGCTTTGCCCTGCCTGGCGTTGTCTTGCCTTGCCTGCAGGGAGAAAACATTTCTCCCGTATTTCTCTCTGGAGTCCAGGCAGGAGCTCAGCCAATCCTGAGAATGGTCCATCTCTCCCTGTTTTTCTTTGGGCTTCCTGGTGTTCGGGAAGACCTTTCCTCAAAGCTAAACGTCAGTGCACAAACTCTTGAGCTGTCAGGAAGGTGTAGCTTTGTCAGGCAAACCCTTCCTCTCCTAGGTTCAAATTCTCTCCAGCTCTCCGAACCCACACACTTCTTTCCAGGTATGAAGGCCACCCTAGCCAAGGTCCGGTTTGCATAGGACACTTTTCCACCAGACTTCTTGTGTTGGTCACAGTCTGTGATTGGGGAATTGGGTTGTAAGGATTTTCATCCCAGTTCAGGCCTTCCCTGGCCTACGGCTTCCCCGGTAGCCTCAGGATTTGGTAGGAAGAGCTGACATTGGACTTGGAGCGGGAGGCCTGCAGTCTTTATCAGGTTCATTTCTACCAAGTCATGATTTTTGCTGGGTATTTTAAACTTAGGATTGTTTTTTTTTTTTTTCTTGTCCAAAATGATGAGATAAACTTAGTAACTCTCAGAGGTTCCTTTTTGTAGTAAAACATTGTGGCTTAAGAAGTTTTTGCTGTTTGATAAAGCAATTTATATATCTGAACCAGTGACCTTTACAGAATGTGTTCTGTCACTTAGCTGAAAGTTCTTTCTTCGTGTACCTATTGATTATTTGCATTCCTTCAACAGCCATACGTCCAGTTAAAATAAATTTTTGTCAAAGCATGGATTTTGAACTATTGATCTTTTTCCAGTGCTATATGCAATCTTAAGAGCAGAGTATCAGGGCTGGGAGGTTGCTCAGTGGTAGAACATGTGCCTAGTTAGCAAGTATGAGGACTCTGCCTTCGCTCCTTAGCTTTGTAAAACAAAAAAAATTGAGTCCCAGCCAATACCAGCCCCACAAATGGAAACTGTGACAGTTTCCAAGGTTTTTAATCCATCCCCTTGGCTGCTGTGCTTAAGGTAATGTCTACAAACTTTCCGTTGTTGTTGACACAGTTCTTTAGAATTTCGCTAAAGCAATAGCCAAAACCAATACAAAATATTCTTGTTTCACAACAGTTCTACATCACAGAAGCTTGGGCTAGTCTTTAGTTGGTGAAAGTACTTTCCTGATCTAGAAATTTGTGGTATAGTAGAGCTATTTCTTTAACTCCTAGGGAACCTTACTTCAAAGATAAATTAGTTCAGGATTATGTTTGTATTTAATAAATTAGTCACATAACTGATAGTAATAATTACCAGACTCTTAAAAAAAATCTTATTTCTAAAGAAAATTGTCTCAGTTAAAATTCCTGTCAGTATGTTACTTTTTTTTTTTTGCCAGAATTGTTACTTTATCATGAAATGTTGCCGTGTTTTTAACATTTCTCAACTAAACTGTTATTTGGCCCCCAGGATAGAAGGGAGTTCTTTCTTTCTTTCTTTTTTATTGCAAGAGAGCTGTACAGGACTTGGGTGATCTGATTTCATTCAGGTGTGGTGATTTTAGGGCAATAACCCGTAAGGTTGGCGACTAAGGGCTTTCCTTCCATCCTGGTTGTCCTCTAGTGTGTGAACCTTGATTAAATCACTGTATCCTGGAGGGCCTCTGTTGCTGCCTAGCCAAAGCCAAAGTTGGGCAAGAGAATCTCTGAAGTCCTTGTAGGCATTGTTTTCTATGTTCTTAAGCCCATTCCCCATCTCACAGTCTACCTACAAATGATATTTATCTATAGCCTACCTATACATATTACCTAATTGTCTTACAACAGTGGCAGAAGTCCTAACTAAGGCTGTGGATTTCTTTCCCTGTCTTAGTTTCAATATAACTGCTTTCCTTAAAACAGTTTGTTAGGGATGGAGTTGTATGTAGCTCAGTATAGAAAGAATGCCTGGCATAGACAAGTTTCTGGGTTCCATTACCAGCACTGTTAACTTTACATGACAGAGTGAATAAATCCATTCAACTTTTGGAATTTTGTTGAAATGTTTTATTATGCCAATTTCATGTGACTTGCCCATTGTGATGTGTATTAGAGAATTATTTCCCATGTGCTGTTGGAGAAACAAAATGCATGTCCTTTGTGTTTATTTTTTTCCTACCAGAGAAATGATGAGGATGGTGATGATATGGATAGTTATCAGGTATTGCTACTGCTGTCAATCCTGTGGCATGGGGCACAGCTATTGCTAATTGCCAGCATTTGCAAAAGCAGAGGCCAGGGAGGAGGAAAGTGGCTTAGAGAGCAAGAATGTGCAGTTTTGCCCGTGCTTTTGAATTGCTTCATATGTAATCAAATGTACAATACTATGTCTGTTGTTTTTCCTCTCTGTTTTCAGAATTTATAACCAGATACTGCATTTTTTCCTCTGCGATCTGAAATTATTAGCTTGTAAAGCCTTGCTAAGCAAGATCATTATCACTATATTAAAAGTACTGCTCCTAAAAAAATTTACATAGTTTTCCATCCATAATCTTTAGATTCTTATCTTTCCTATGCTAAACTGTACTTTGCTTCTTATACGCAAGAAATTAGTGTTGTTCTAAAATACCATTTAACTTTAAAACACTTACTGGGCAGGAAACTTAGAGGCATTTTATGCACATAGCTTTCTTTTGTTTAGCTAGTTTTCTCCTTTCATTAGGGAAAAGGTTAGTTCTCCATAAGTTATAGAATTTAAATCTCAGCCTTTTCTTGTTGGAAATGTAGAGAAAAAAGATATGTGCAGCTATAAAAGGGTTAGCACTGACTAGCCTGATAGCATGCATGATCAAACCAGTGAACTGAGATGGTTTCTGTCTTTGATTCCCAGTCTTTGTACTGCTTCTCCACACAAATTCAGAAGATATTTCCCCAGTTGTGCCTTCCAGTATATAAAATATGGGTCCATTGCTAGGCACCAGTGGCTCACACCTTTCATCCTGGCTCCTCAGAAGGCTGAGATCTGAAGGGTTGAAATTCCTGCCAATTTAGGCAGGAAATTACATGAGACTCCATTTCCAAAAAACAAAAAACTCCCAATAGTATGAAGCTGCAGTGGAGATCTGGCTCATGTGGTAGAATGCCTGAGCAAGGACATTGAGTTCAAATCCTGCTGTCTGCCCCACCCCACCCCACAAAAAAAGTGGGAACATTATAGAAATAGCATTAGAAGTTCCTAGTGTCTAGCCTTAGTATAATGTCTTTACCATTAGACTAGCATTAAGCCAATGAGCATTTTTGAATAAAACTGGAGACTTTTCTTTCCTTGCTCATAATTTTACGTAGAAAGGAAAGAAGCAAATGCAAACAAACCTTAGGGGAAAGGTCAGTGTTCCCTGGGATGTCAGCAGTGCCATTGACTAACGTCTTTTGGCTTTTTGCGTGCTTCCTGCCATGTCATGCACATCCAAGTTCATGGCTGCTTCGGGAATTTCTTCAAGCATGGCTGAATGCATGTTGGGTTTTTGCATGGGAGACTGTTGTTTAGTCTCATGGTGACATTTGGATGTAAAATCTTTGGAGAAAGTTCAAAAGCTTCTCTGCTGACCTATTCTTTCCATTTCAGAAAATACATGTTACTAGGCCACTGAACTGTGAAATAAATGCCTGTCCTCCTCTATCTGTTTGATATGTTATAGGTGGTCTTCCTGTTTAAAATTGTACATCTTTCAATCAGTAGCTGCCATTTAAGTACAATGCATGAACTTAGCCTAAAAATCATGCGATCCCTGGTATCAGCTGAGCTTGTCTTGCTTTAAAAAGGCTAATTATTATCCTTGTAGAGATCTGATTTCTGGGGACCCAAATCCTTGATCAGCATGTGGTGCTACTGAGTCCCCTGCTTTCCTGCACATTAATCACACACCAGTGTTCAATGGCCTTTCCTAATGGAAAGTTTGCTAATCAATTTAGACTTTTGTTTTTTAAAGAAAATAGGTGTCTAGCATCTTACAGACGAATGTTTTCTGCCCATGTTGCCAGGAAGAAGATTTAAACTGCGTGAGAGAGAGGTGGTCAGATGCACTCATTAAACGGAGAGAATACTTAGATGAACAGATTAAAAAAGTCAACAACAAAAAAGGTATGTGAAATGTAAGCTAATAATTTTCTTTTAAGATATATGAGGTTAAATGCTCTGGGAATAGTCTTTTCATTTCTATTCACTGGTAGTAGATTCCTTTCTTTCCTTCGTTAGACAGTACCATCTTAGTTGAACTTGAAACCATTAAAGACATTACTGAACCAAATTATACCTTTCTATTAAGAAGTCTCTGAATGGTATAACTTTTCATATAACTATGAGTGTGTCAAAAAGCTGTGACATTAAATGTCCAGCTCAATTGTGTTTCAGTGATCACAAATGTGGTCATTACCAGTGTGCTGGTATACAGAATGTCAGCGTGCATGAACACCATCTAGACCACATGGTGCCTTATTCCTGTCGGGCAGTGTGGCTCTGTAGTTGTACTCTCTGCCCCTAAGGGTACCCATTTGCTTACTATGCACTTGGATCCTGTAGTAGAAATATGTCCTTCAAATTTTTGTCTCAGTCCAGTTCAGTTGATATGTACTTGTAATCACAGCATTTGGGATATAAAGGCTAGATGATCTGGAGTTCAAGACCAGCCTGGGCTACATAGTAAGACCCTGTCTCAAAAGAATCCTATCACTCATCCTGACTTCATTGTCCTTGTGGTTGATTCTACATCAATAAACACATTATGGCTGTTAATTCATTTCTTGAAGAAGTGTGGTGTTGACTCATATGCATATTGTGATCATGAAAACCCATCGCTAGTATCCCCAGGGAGTCCCAGAATTCAATTACAGACATGAAAATTTTAAGAATGTATCAAATAAAATCCTTTTCCTAATAAGCATGAAGGGAGCATAAAAAGTTTTTTGGAATAAAACAAACATATGTTTTAAAAATTAAAATTGTGACATGGTATATTATTTTATGATGTCCAGTCCATTATTTTACTTAATCATAACACCATGTGACAGAGCAGAAATGACTTGAATTCCTGTTTGACAGATTAGGAAACAGACTCATCTGTTGAACAACTTCCCCAAATCTTAGCACTGGTCACATGATCTAAGATTTGTCATTGCTGTTCCAGTGCTCTTTCTACTGTTTCTGGCTTATACTGCCTGAAGCGGCTGTCATAGCCTTTCCAGGCCTGGATGTTCATGCTTGCCTTTGAAGCCTCCATCCATTTTGGGGACATAGTGGATGTCTAGGCCTTTTTGGTTATCACAGGGTGAAGATCTACTTATTTTTAACTTTAGGGATTGTGCTTCCCGTCTCATTCTCATTCATCTCTTCATTTTCTTCTGCAGAGAAAACAGAGGATGATGTGGAACGGGAAGCTCGGCTTGTGGAGCAGTGGGTGGGACTGACGGAGGAAAGGAATGCTGTGTTGGTACCAGCCCCAGGCAGTGGGATCCCTGGGGCTCCTGCTGACTGGTAAGGCTGCCCTCTCCTGCATGCCTGGCAGGGTGGGATCTACTACCTGCCTGATAGAGCCATGCAGGTGGCTTTCCGTGACTGGCCCAGGAAATGCCATCTCTAGTACTCCTTTGTCATTACATCTTCGAATCACTGCCAACTTCCTTCAGAGGAAGGAATCAAATACTATACTGCTCTGTTGTTCTGAATAGCAACTTGAACATTTTCTGATCTGTAGAAATTCTCTCATTTTGGCTTGAGAAGGTTTCTAGGGTATACTTGAAGAGAGCAAAAGAGATGTTACTCGCTCTAGTACCTGCTTAGTTTGGCAACTGACTTAAACATTTTAGCACTACATGATCAATCAGTTGATTAGTCAGTCCTAGACATGTTAATAGAAATAGCCTGGTTTGATAGCAGCGTCTGGAGTAAAGTAGATCTGGATTTAATTTCTTGCTTCTTTCATGTTGATTCAACTGCAGTTGCTTCAGCCTTTCTCATTCTTACTGCAGAAAACGCCCTGAGCGTGTTTGCTAGTTTTATTTACGTTGTGTTTCTTTGTTTTTCTGTGGTGCTAGTGATGGAATCTGGAACCTTGCACATGCTAGGCAAGCACTTTATTGCTGAGCTACATCTCCAGCTTTTGTCCTAAGCATTTAAGAGAAAAATTCAAGATTCCCTTTGAACACAGAGGGTGTGTGGCCACATAGACTTCTTTGGATAGACATAGAAACAGTCTCTATTGGTAAATGGAATGTAATTGATTTTAATAGTCTCCTTTAGAGAGTAGAGAATCTAAATTTGTAAACACACAATTTGTAAGCCGCTGTTCATCCTTGACATTTGTCCTTGTGTGCTGAATCCTGCAAGCCACCCACTGCCACTTCCTATGCACAATGAGCTCATTCCTAGCCTTGTGCTGTTCCTCGGCGCTCGCTCCAGATAGTCCTCACCTGATTCTCACACGATGTTTTTTTCAAACTGCAGATCATCTGCAGGGTTTGGATAATGTAGTCCTGGATCCCACCTTGTTATTCTGATTCAGAAAGGGAAAGAAGGCCTGAGACTCTTCATCTTAAGAGATGAAAGTGGGGCTGGGAAGGTGGCTCAGTGGTTGAGCGCTTGCCTTGCATGCATGAGGCCCTGGATTCAATTCCTCAGCACCATATAAGCAGAAAAATCCACACGTGGCGCTGTGGCTCAAGTGGTAGAGCGCTAGCCTTGAGCTGAAGAGCTGAGGGACAGCGCCCAGGTCCAGAGTTCAGGCCCATGACCGACGAGGGGGGGGGCCAGGGGAGTGATTTCTGCTGTAGCTGGGCCAGTTTAGACAGTACACTGCTTAGTCCCACCCCACACAATTTATAATTCTCATCTCATCCAAGCTTATTGCATAATGTCACTTCTGTTTACTTCCTCTAGGCTCTGAGCTAATCTACTATCTCTAACACCACCACAACCCTTGTTTCATCACTAAAATTGCTATTAATAGTAGTATAGCTATTATTATTACACTACTGAGGACTGAACCCAAGGCCTTGCTCACGCTAGGACAGTACTCTGTCACTTAAGCCACACTCACAACCCTTTTATTTCTATTTTGCTTTTGAAACAGGGACTGTCAGAACCTTTGGCTAGCTACCTTGAAACTCGCCATCCTCCTCCCTCTACATCCCAAGTAGCTGGGATTACAGCTGGGATTATACCACCATGCCTGGCTTCACAAAAATTATTTTGAGCAAGGCTTTAATCTTTGCTTCAAGTAATTATGGGTAATTCATATTGACTGGCAGGTTTTTAATGTGTATATGTGACATAGTTTCCATGATTTGTGTTAACAGAGAAGTAAAATGTGAACATACTTCATGAAAAGGGCCTGTATCTCCCCAGTGGTTTTCTGCTTCCATGGTTGTGTGTTGTTTTATTATCCCAGTAAGATATAAAATATTTCTAAATTTTGTCATTCAATTTAGGATCCCACCTCCTGGCATGGAAACTCACATACCAGTTCTCTTCCTTGATTTGAATGGTGAGTAGGTACTTAACATTCCAGGGATTGTTACACTTAATTAAGATTTATCATCCATTTGCTCACATTTTTATTGATAAATCACTTGTAATTACTCTTATGCCACATAGAGATGACATTTTTGTTTCAACCAAAAATATATACGCATGACATGTAGAATCACAGAAGAAGGGATGCGGTTGTTTAATCAAAGTATGAGAGCACCTAGGGAGATTGAGAGAAGTATATAGTTGTTTTGGAATATTAATAGGCATAGTTATTACTTGGAAAAGTAATCACCTTCAGATATTCTGACTCAGCCTTGGCAATGGCCTAGGAAGCTGCATTCTGACTAATGTCTTTTGCTACTCAAACCCAATAATTTTGATGCTAGAAATGATCACAGTGTAACCTTGCCTTATGTGTTCTTGGACTAGGGGGCATGGCTCAAGTTGTACAGCATTTGCTGAGCATATGCTGATCCTTAGGTTCAATCCCTAGCACCATAAGAAAGAGAAAAGGAAAGAAAAAGACCAGCAAAATTCTAATTGTTTTAAGAGCACAAATGGAAGCCAGGCACCTGTTATCCTTGCTACTCAGGAGGCGAAAATCTGAGGATAGATGGACAAAGCCAGCCAAGGCAGAAAAGTCCTTAAGACTCCATCTCCAGTTGACCAGCAAAATGCAGACAAGAGTTGTGCTGCTCAAGTGATAGAGCGCCAGCCATAAACAAGCAAGCCAAGGAGAGCACAGAGCCCTGAGTTCAAGCCCTAGCAGTGGCACACACCAAAAATAGTAGTAACTGAAAATAAATAAAAAATGAAAGCTACCCTGACTCTTGGAGTATCTATTTCAACTGCAAGATAAGTAATGGGGGGGGGGGGGGAGTTAGGAATGTGTTACATGTAAACTTCATCTGTTAAAAAACATATTTTTGGTTGACATGCAGTTTAGCCTATCCCAGCCCCTGAGTTTGACCCCAGCACCTTTTAATTATAGGGGAAGGTGGGTGTGTATCTTTTTAAATGTTGTTACTTCAAAACTAACTTTATCCCCTACTCTTTTATTTTGTGCCTTGACCTTGATTAGCGGATGACCTCAGTGCCAATGAACAGCTTGTTGGTCCCCATGCATCAGGTGTGAACTCCATCTTGCCCAAGGAACATGGCAGCCAGTTTTTCTACCTGCCTATCATAAAGCATAGTGATGACGAGGTAATTCCTCCCCAGGACTCTCCTACAGGGCTTCAGATTAACACATAAGTTCCGTGGGCCTGCCCTCCTGTGAAACCACTATAGTTTGCTTTGGGAAAGAAGGTTAGAGTCCTAAAAAGAAAATTTAAAAATAAAATAAAGAAAACTTTATGTGCTGTCACTCAAACTAGATGAGGAAGGCTGGCTCTTGGGTGACATTGAGTTAATTTATAAACAGCTGAGTCATCTCTTTCCATCTCCCCATCCTTCTCCCACTCCCAGGTTTCAGCCACAGCCTCCTGGGACTCTTCGGTGCACGACTCTGTTCACTTGAATAGAGTCACACCCCAGAACGAGAGGATTTATCTTATCGTGAAGACCACAGTCCAACTCAGTCACCCGGCCGCCATGGAGTTAGTATTACGAAAGCGGATTGCAGCCAATATTTACAACAAACAGGTAGTAATGGGGACCAGCTCTGCCATTATGTCTTTCAGACTACAGATTTCTTCTTGTCTCTCATACATTCATGTTCTGTGGCACTAATTTATCAGAGAATGTGCAGAATGGAGCCTTGCTGGCTGAGTTGGGAGGCTTTGCTCATTATCTGAGATAATAGGGCAAGAGAGGCAAATGTCATCCCCAAAAGACATGTCCACTTTGATATGAAACCCATAATTCTAGGTGACACTGGCTGTGACATTTCCTTGTTTGAAAAGTGGAAACACTGAAAGTGGAGAGGTTAAGTACCAGGTACAATCAGGTTAGTGACAGACACAGACAGAACCAAACACAGACTCCAAAGAAATCCCTATCCTTGCCAGATTGCATCTGAGAGGTACTGTCAACACCCCCCCACCCCCGCCCCTGTGTTGTTCAGCTGGTCTCCAGAAGGACTGGTGAAACCCGGAAAGGCAAAGCCAGTCTGCAGAGGGGAGAAAGCACCCTTAGAAACCTGAATGTCCCATATGTTCTGTAAACTAGTCCCCACACAAGACTTGGCCGTTATCATCCATCTGGAAAGGAGACAGAGAGTCTCAAGTTCAATTTGTTTGCCTGTTTCACCGAATCTTATATATGACTCTCTATGAAGAACTGTGGTCATTTATAAAATGCTGTTACAGTTTGTAAACTTAGATTTGTCACGTAACTTAACCCAGTTTTCCTTTTCAGAGTTTTACCCAGAGTTTGAAGAGGAGGATATCATTGAAGAACATATTCTATTCCTGCGGTGTAACTTATGAAATAGTTTCCAATATACCAAAGGCAACCGAGGAGATTGAGGACCGGGAAACGCTGGCTCTCCTGGCAGCACGGAGTGAAAACGAGGGCACGTTAGATGGAGAGACATACATTGAGAAATACACACGGGGCGTGCTGCATGTGGAGAACATTCTGAGCCTTGAACGGCTCCGACAGGCAAGTGACTGACTAGAGGGCCTGAAGGTTGTAATCACCAGCTTTCCCCCGACATTGGACAAAGATGAATTTGTTCACCAGTCATCTCTCTTAAGTCATGCAGAAAAGGAGAACTTGAAAAGTGATTTGTTGAAAAAAATCATTCCAAAAATAAAAACAATAAAGAACACTTACTGAGTACTTCCTTTTTGAAAGGGGCTGTGCCTCAGTACTTTAGATTCATTGTTTCATTCAATGATCAACAGGAATGTACTGTTGCAATGAGACAATTCAGGCTAAGGGCAGTTAGCCAACTTGCTCAGGTTTTACAATTAGGGCAGGTGAAAACCCACATAGATTTACCATGTATTTAACCATGTATATTCCCTAGCCCTCTAATGTTTGCACTCAGGTTAACTTTAGAGATAATCCATTAAGGTGGAAATTATAACACACAGTATCGGGGCTATAAGACTAGCTATGCCCTTCAGTAACACTCCCCTGTGGTGCAGGAGTTTGCGTGACAGATAGTGAGTATTGACTCATAGGAGTGCATCAGTCACCAAAATCTTCTCCTAATGGAAATCCTACCAGAATAGATACACAAGTAAAACCCACATAACATTCATTTCCTCTGCCTATTTGCTTGAGAAAATAATTCCCAACATAGATCTGTCTTTTGCTAAGAAGCTTTCTTGGCTTGTTTTTGAAGTATGTTTTTGATTGTGGCGGGGGGGGGGGGGGCGGGGAGAATGTGGAGGAGCTGTTGGCTTGGCTCATGCCTGTAATCCTAGCTACTCAGGGGGCTGAGATCTGAGGATTGTCATTCTAAGCCAGCCTGGGCAGGAAAGTCCATGAAACTGTTAACCTCCAATTAACTACCTAAAACACAAGAGTGAGAAGAGCCATGGCTCAGGTGGCATAGCATGAGTTTAATTAAAAAAAGCTCAGGGATAGTGTACAGGCACTGAGTTCAACCCTGAGGACTGGCACACATACAGAAAAATCAGTCACATTAAGATTTGTGTCTTATAAATAGGTATTTTTGTAGGTATATGCATTATTGACGTGATTTATAAATATTCTACAAATAAACATCTTCCTCTTGAAGTCAGATAAGAAAATAATAAGTATTATGTTGAAATTATTATGTTTACAGGCTGTCACAGTCAAAGAAGCACTTTCCACCAAGGCTCGGCACATTCGGAGGAGCCTCAGCACACCAAATGTTCACAATGTAAGTACAGCACCTTGTACAGCAAATGTGCAAGTACACCTGCTTTTACATGTGCTGTCTCAGACTGTGGGATGGGAGACCTTAGAGGGATGTGATGTTGATATTGACTCAGTGGGAATAATACACATGGAGCTAAGTAGAGTCGGCAACCCAGTGTCCAGCCTACTTTTCTGTGTCCCTGAAGATGTAACCATTTTATTGTGGTTATGACCTTTTTTAGAAAATTGAGTGGGAAAGATTTATATTTTAGATACTCATACAAGAATAAGGTTAAAAGATTTTAAAGCTAGACAGGTAACCAACCTCTTATGTAAGCAAAACTTAAACTTTACCTCTATAGTTATAAACTTTTTCTTCATAAACAAAACAACTACATTCTGAAGCCAATAAATTAAAGCTAGGAAGTAATAAAATTGAATCAAAATAGGAATTAAAAGGGAGCATACAACCTAATATATGTTATATTCATATCTGAAAGAAAAATTGTTTTAAGCTAAAAAATACTAGAATATTTCGAGGAAAGAATGAAGTAAATATTACAACAGAAACACACTAAATCCAAATAATATTTGAACATAGCTGAAGTAAAAGAACCAACAACGCTAAAAAGCAGATTGTCTGAAAAGACTAGTGACTGACTTTTAGTTTAGATTGATTGGAGAGTAAAAGATAATAGGCAAAAAAGAGCAGATAAGAATATTATTGGGAATATAAGGAAGTATTGCTATAGAAATAATAGACACTGAGACAGGTGAGTGAACCATGAATGCCATGCAATTACATGTAAAAGTTTAAACAAGATGGAAATTTCCTGCAAAAATTCCATCAGAAAGAAACAGGAACACAATTACTGCACACATACAAAAAGGCCTTATATAATGACTTTGTTCATTGATGGAAACGTATCAAATCAAAAACTTAACATATAAGTGTAAACTTACTACAAACTCCCAGCAGATTTTGGAGGATTTTATGAGTTTACCCTAAAATTTCTATGGAAAAGCAGAGTTGAAAGCATACATATTTTATCTACAGGCCAGATATTCTGTGCCCTAGATGTGTGTAGTCTACAAGTTCTTTTGGTGAGGTTTTTTTTTGTTGTTTTGTTTTGTGTTTTGTTTTCACTCAAGGCTTGCTAGCACTCTTACTACTTTGAGCCACAGCTGCACTTCTGGTTTTCTGAGGTTAACTGGAGATAAGAGTCTCATGGACTTTCCTGCCCAGGCTGGCTTTGAACCTTGGTCCTCAGATCTCAGCCTCAGTGCTATCATTACAGGCAGCCACTAGCACTGGCTAGAGATTCTTATTGATACACAAATTATATAGATCTAAAAAATATAGGCTTAGCTCCGAGGATCATTGTTTGAAACGAGCCCAAGCAAGAAAGTTTGTGAGACTCTTCAGTTAACAAAAAGCCAGAAGTGGAACTGTGACAAGTAGTAGAGTGCTAACACTGAGCAAAAAAGCTCAAGGACAATACCCCCGCCAAGGCCCAGAACCAGCAACCCCCTTCCCCCAATTAAAAGAAAAAGTAAATAAAACTAAAGGCTACTACTTTGAAGAATGCATCCAGAGTGGTGCTTAGAGACAGGGTAAAACAATTATTTCATCATATTTTTGTCTTTTTTCTTTTTGTTTTGGTCAGTCGTGGGGCTTGAACTCTGGACCTGAGCGCTGACTCTCAGCTCTTCAAGGCTAGCGCTCTACCACTTGAGCTATGGTGCCACTTCCAGTTTTCTAGTGGTTTACTGGAGATAAGAATTTCATGCACTAGGGGTTGGGAGGGTAGCTCAGTGGTAGAGTGCTTGCCTTGCATGCATGAGGCCCTGGGTTCGATTCCTCAGCACCACATAAGCAAAAAGAAAAAAGCCGGAAGTGGTGCTGTGGCTCAAGTGGTAGAGCGCTAGCCTTGACCTAAAGAGCTGAGGGACAGCGCCCAGGCCCAGAGTTCAGGCCCCATGACCGGACCCCCCCCCCCCAAAAAAAAAAAAAAAAGAATTTCATGTACTAAAGCTACCAGCACAACTATATTTATTGCAGCATTATTTACCATAGCTAAGATATGGAACTAACCCAGATGCCCTTCAGTAGATGAATGGATCAAGAAAATGTGGTATATATACACAATGGAATTCTATGCATCCATCAGAAAGAATGACATTGCCCCATTTGTTAGAAGTAGAAAGACTTAGAAAAAATTATATTAAGTGAAGTAAGCCAGGCCCAAAGAAACAATAGGTCCCATGGTTTCCCGTATTTGCAATAACCAGTGTATGTCTGAGTCAAGCAGAAAAGGTTAGATAAGTTGATGTTAGGGAAATGAACCCCAAGATAAGTATTCAAATGTTTTTTTTTCTTTCATGCAATTGTTTCTAACATATTTATAAGATGATTTCTTTGTTGCTTTGTATGTCCCTCCCCCATGGTATAACCTCTGCTTTCACTGTATTTGATGTTGGTATAATTTGTGGAGGAGAAGGGAAAAACAAATCGTTTAAATAGGGATACAGGTGGACCCATTGCAACAAGTCGTTATGTCAAAAAAGGAACTTTGCAACTTTGGTGGGGTGGGGGAGGATCAGGTAGGGGGGAGCAGGCAGGGAGATATGGGAAGGGATGGGAAGGAAAAACAAAGGAGGAGGCAACAATGCTTGATAAGAAATGTACTCGTTATCTTGCCCATGTAATTGTAACCCCTCTGTAAGGTATTTTCACAATTAAAAAAAAAAAAAAGAATTTCATGGACTTTCCTGCTCGGGCTGACTTTGAACTGTGATCCTCAGAGCTCATCCTCCTGAGTAGCTAGGATTACAGGTGTGAGCCACTGGCACCTGGCTTTGTCTTTATTTTTGAGACCAGGTCTCTCTATGTAGCCCAGACTGCCCTTGAGCTCATGGTCTTCCTACCTTAGCCTCCCTATTTCTAGGATTGCAGGTCTATGCCATTATGCTCAACTTCATCATGTTTCATAATTGGAAAAATAATTAGAAGCAGCTTAGATATCCACCAATAGGAAGATGGGACCAAAAATAGTATACTATAGAAGACTATGTAAGGTAGCATTTGTGAGGTATAAAAAGTTGCAGAATAATACTAGTTATTGTTTATGAGCATATTTGCATGTAATTACATAAAATATGCATGGAGGTAATAACTCCCAAGTTGAGGGTGGTAATTATTCCTGGGGAGCTAAGAAAGAAGGAAGAAGATCATACTGGTGTCAGCCATATCTATACTTTATATTTCCTTATATAGAAAGAAAACTGTGGGCTGGGGCTTAAGTTATAGAATACTAGCCCAGCAATTCCAAGGCCCTGCATTCAAACTCTATTATTGCCAAAAGAACAGGAAATAAAATGATGTCAAATATATAACCTATACTGATAAACTGTTCATCTCTTATAGGTTTCTTCTAGTCGACCAGACCTTTCTGGCTTTGAAGAAGATGATAAGGTGTGTACATGTGGGCTGGGTTATCAACAGAACTAAGTTCTTAAGATGGAAATTTGTGCTTAAATTTTTTATGTCCTCCAGACGTTTCAAATCTAGTCATTAGAGACAGCCAACTTGTAAGAAGTTGAAGTAAGGTTGAAATAAGCTTATATAATATACAAGAGGTTTCTCTTCCCAGTACCCTCAATGTCTTGTGTCTATTTGGAATTTTTAAATCTCTTTTAAAACTTCTAAGTTTGAAATCTTTAAGTTTCAATAATCTATGGTATGTAATTATACTTCCAGTTTGTCTGGCAGAGTCCCAGGTTATATTGTTAACCCAGGCAAAATTATGGAATACAACTATTTAATTCTCAAAAGTGTTTCAAGGTGGATGTTGGTGGTGTATGTCTGTAATCCTAGTTAGTCAGGATGCTGAGATCTGAGGATTGTGGTCCAAAGCCAGCCCAGGCAGGAAAGTCCATGAGACTTTTATCCCTAATTAACTACCAGAAAACCAGAAGTGGAGCTGGGCTCAAAGTAGTAGAGCACTAGCCTTGAGTGGGCAGCCCCAAGGAACTGAGTTCAGGCCCTACGACTGACCAAAAAAAAAAAAGTTTCAACTTGGTCTGTAAATTATCCAGTTATCCTAGAAATGTACCAAACTGATCAAATTAACTCCTTATGGGCTAGGTAAAAGTGAATGGGACCACACAGGGTTTCAAAAGTAGACTTCACACATACAGAGAGAACAAGAAAGCAAGAATTACCTTTTCTTAGATAGAGCTAGTTGTCCTGAGGAAAACAGGGAATTACGTGAAAGTGTATACAATATTCATTCATTGAGTGTACTTCTTAAGCCTCTGGTTTGTAAAATATCAATATTTATTCACTGTGGGTGTCCCTTGGCTATGATGGTTATTAATAGTTAGCACTTTTCTATGTGTTTCAAATATTTCATAAGAAAAATAAAGAAGGGCATACACCGCCATTAAAAAAAAAATAGAAGAAAATCGAGTCCTGGCTTCTTTTCTTATTTTAGAGTGATTGCATCACAGTTAACCCATATTTCTCCCCTGTAGGGTTGGCCAGAGAACCAGTTAGACGTGTCTGACTACAGCTCCAGTTACCAAGATGTAGCATGTTATGGAACTTTACCCAGGGATTCACCTCGAAGGAGCAAAGAAGGCAATGGTGAGATTATAATGATTTTTCTTTTAATTACTTAGGAATGGCCTAAAATGTTCACAGATAGTATATACTGTGATAAAAGCTGAAATTCTAGCTAGTTAGATGATCTTAAAATTCACTTACTGGGACTTCTTTTTGTATCCATCATATTGAATAATAGTACTTTTTTTGGGGGGTGGGGGGTTGGGTTTGAACCTGGAGGGCCTCACATAGTAGTCTCTCTGCCACTGGGCTACAGCCTCAGCCCAACAATACAGCACTTTATGTATATAGCTTTAGATTTTCCTAAGTGTTCTTCATTGCAGCCTGTTCTAAGTTTGAAGTCATTTTGAGACATGCAATTCTTACTTCATTTTTTCCTACAAAGGAATATCTACCTCTGTCATGTTTCTGTACTAAAAGGAATGTTGAAGAAAACATGAATCTGGTTCAGAAGTGATGCCAGAAGTGAATTTGATCAGTGACAAAATTACCTAAATACAGCCTCCCAATGTCTGAGGGGACAGCATTCTCTGAAAATGTAAATCAGCTTATACTTTGTATTTTCACCTTCTAAATTTCATTGTTATAAGAACTAAGAAAATAAAGGAGAAAGAAGCCAAACAAGGCAGAGAGAGAGAGACAGAGAGAGACAGAGACAGAGAGAGAGACACACACAGAGAACAAGAAAGCAAGAATTACCTTTTCTTAGATAGAGCTAGTTGTCCTGAGGAAAACAGGGAATTACATGAAAGAGTATATAATATTCATTCATTGAGTGTACTTCTTAAGCCTCTGGTTGATATTTTCAAATGTCAAATCTATATCATCTATCTTATTTCATTTGAAATAAGATAGATGATATAGGAAGCAAAATATCTGACTCTAAGGGCTCAGAATTCAGATTTGGCAAGACAGCATGAACTAAAATTGGCCTGGTAAGTATTACTCAATTTTCAAAAGATGGTAGAAAACTATCACTTCTAGTTTTTCTCACTCTTGCCTTTAGTAATGCTTTATGACTATACAGACTTATCCTTCTTTTTGCCAAAATCCATTTCAATGCTTAACCATTAGGCTATGTATTCCCTGTTCTATAAGACCCTACTGTGTGATGTATTTTAGTCCCCTTTCTATTGCTGTGACAAAATACCTGAGGGTAAACAGAAGAAGAAAGGGTTTATCTTGGCTCTGAGTGCAGAGGTTTCAGGCCAGGGTCAACTGATTCCATTGCTCTGGGCCTGAGGATATCATAGCAGCAGGAATGTGTGGTAGGGGTAGCTCTTCATCTGGTACCACTAAGGAGCAAAAAGAGGGAGAGGAGGGGCCAGAAACAAGAAACTCCTTTTGAAGACAAGTCTCCCAATGACCATCTTCCACCATTTGTTCTCCCATCTCCTAATTCATTCATCTGTGAACTCATCAGTGGATGAAGTTAGCACCCTCATAATCCAATCACTTCCTAACACCACCAGCTGAGGATTGAGCCTTCAACAGAAGAGCCTTTGGAGACATTTTATATCCATACTCTATCAACAGTGGGTTATTGCCCAGCTTCCTGGGTGAAGTGAGAAAAAAAATGCTCTGTATCCATACACTCACACCTCTTTGTCTTTCTCAGGTTGTACATCGGAGAATCCTCATGCCTTAACGGTCAGCCCTTTTAAAGCATTCTCCCCCCAGCCGCCAAAGTTTTTCAAACCCCTAATGCCTGTAAAAGAGGAACATAAGAAAAGGATAGCTCTTGAAGCAAGACCTCTTCTAAGCCAAGAGGTAAATGCCTGGCTAGTTTGTATGGTGTGAAACAGGATGGATTGGTGGTGTCTGCAGAGAATGGCTGTTAGTACTCGCAAGTGAAATGCTGCATGCAGACAAGCACGAGTTTATCACTTTGTGGCCCCTGTTCTTGGATACCTCTTTCTCAAGCACATAGGATGAGGTTGAAGTTTTTGGTGGTGGTTATTTCTGTGGTTTTATTCCTTTGTGTCAGTGGCTTTTCAAAGTACACACACACACACACACACACACACACACACACACACATTTTAACCTTTTAAATGAGAAAGAGATGTCCTCTGGATATTTTGAAAATACTAAAAGCTTTTATTGATTCGTTTTTTAAGGAAAACTTTTTTGTTGTCTTTTGTTTTCTTTCCTTTTTGCCGCCAAATCTGTGTAGTCCTGTCAGATTTCATCAGTAGTTCACAACTCTGGCCTGCAAAACTGGCTGCTGCATTACTCATGTGTAATAGAACTGTTGCATTGCTTGTCTAACATGCATGTACTTAATAGGTGTTTCAGAGGTTGTCATCTTTTGTGTGTGATGCATCTGTGTGTCTTAACCTTTGCAGAGCATGTCTCCATCTCAGGCACATAACCCTGGCTGCATTGTACCCTCAGGAAGCAATGGCAGCAGCATGCCAGTAGAACACAGTAGCAAACGTGAGAAGAAGATTGTAAGTTCTGGAACCATTTCTGTCATAATTGCCTGGTGGTGGGTTTAAAGCCCTTTCACGGACTCTTCCAAATGCTTTAGAAGAAATTAAGACATGTTGAGTCTTTTGCATGAATATGTCTGTGACTTGTGATTTTTTTTTCTTCTAAGTGTTCATTCTATTTTTTTAACACTTATTTTTGCTTAGTATAAGTTTGCTTAGCTAAAAGAAAAAGAAAACACTTTGATGATTCTGGTCTTAACTTAAGAACAGTATAACTAAGAGATCACTTTTGACTAATACTGAAATCTTTCTAATGTGCCTATACATATGACCCAGATTCTGAAGTTAATCTACCTAGAGGAATTGCACTTACTTGGAGTAAGTAAATCATGCATTTAGCTGTGGGTATGTTTGAAAGCTTTTTCTATGTTGCCTGATGCTACTGCCAAGATAATTCTGTAGTTTGTAGCTGCTCGGTAGTTCATTGCCACCCATTACACCATCATCCCTCTAGCACAGGTAACCTTTGTTAGTTAGCTGGTAAAATACATGTCAATCTGTTGTTCTCAGCCTTGCTTTCAGGATGGCTTATCTCTGTTCTATCACCAGTAGGTTGAAACCCTACCTGCAAAACTCCATTCCCTAGTATGTGCTTTTTAAATCAACATATTTGAGATAAAGCTTTTGAGAACAGTTAGGCCAAGCAGTACAAATTATCCATTTATAACCTCATTTGAAAAATTTTGAGAGCCTGTATATTTTTCCGGCCTGGAAGAATTTCCCAATTTTGTCTCAGTTTTCCCTCTTTTGTTGCTTCCTAATGCTTAGAAAAAAAAAATAAAACCAGCCTCAGATGAGAGGAGGCTGCATGGTGTTTATGCCTGCATATGACCTGTGTTAGGCAGAGTGCAGAGGGTTTCATTCCCAGCTAGGTTGTATTAGATCCATCCTCCTTAATGTGAGATCCTTTAACAGCACCAGAATACGCTGCTATTGCTCACCACTGTGTGAACACCAACTACAGCTTAATCCTGACCTGCAGTTAGCTACTTGCCTGCATGGGCTACTAATAGATCTTAAGAAACAGTGTTCCTGAGCCAGGCACTAGTGGCTCCTGCTTGTAATCCCAGCTACTGAGGAGGTTGAGTTTCAAGCTAGCCTGGGCAGACAAGTTCCAGACTCTTTATCTCTGATTAACGATCAAAAAGCCAGAAGTGGAGTTGTATGTAGCTTAAGTGGTAGATGTGGTAGAGCCTTGAGCAAAAAGCTAATGGACAGCACCCAGGCTCTGATCAAGCCCCAGTACCTGCATATCCAGCCACCCCAACCCCCATCCCCACCCCAAAAAAGAAATGATGCTCCTATCATGAAGAAGGCATGTACTATTTTCCCTTTTTTCTGTCCCTCTTTCTGTCCTCTGCTTCTGGGTTCTCCCTGTTCTGTTCAAAGCCTTTGTCCTGGTTTGTGATGGAGAAGAAGATATAAGACCTTCACTTCTTCATCTACCCCCTCATCTCTGTGAATCATAATCAACTCATTTACCTGACCACCTCTTGTCCTGTTGATAAGGACTCAGGGGTAGGCTAGTCAGTTAGCTCTTAAATTGTCTGGGTCTATGTCTGATTGGTTCTGTCTGTTCATTGTCACGACTCTCTTCCCTGATGTGCATAGACATAAAACTTAAACCTATCAGAACAATCCATTTTGGCACAATACATCCAAGGACTGCCAGATGCCCCTCAGAGCTGTGCAGCATATAGGTCACAGTTCACGTACTGGGTCCTGTCATTATTTTCGTTAAATGGCTTAACATAAAACTCAGCTCACCTATAGAGTGTGCGATAGAACCAGGTCCTCTTGACCCAACAAATTTTAAGCAGCAGTTAAATGTTGTAATGAAGTGTACTCTGAAATATACTTTGTAATGAAGTGCGCCCTGAAATACGCTGAGTATGGTTGGATGAAACTCTTTTCTTACTGGGGTCTGACTTGAGAGGGGCACTTCCACTCTCCTTTGAAAGCCGGCTTTCTGAGCACTCCTGTCTCTGCAGCTACTGCCTGTTCTGTTTAAATGACTCCACAGAGAGTCTTCCAGGGTGCTCTGGTAGCATTTAAGTACCTTGTTTGTTTGATCTGAGATTTTATTTTGTCTGTTGGAAGCTTTAATTTTATTTTCACATTATAAGTTTATGTAAACTATTTCTTTCTTTGATCCTAATTCATTTTTTTTCTCTTGCATTCTGGAAAAAACAGACAATCAGTGAGTCAGACTAATGGAAAGAATCTCAATCATTCTTGAGAAGTAGTAATATCCACACACTTTTTGATGTTGTTTTTGCTCTGGTCCTGGGGCTTGAACTCAGGACCTGGGTACTGTCCCTGAACTTTTTTGCTCAACCACTTGAGCCACAGCTCCACTTACAGCTTTTTTTTGGGGGGGGGGAGGGGGTTTGCTTAATTGAAGAGAAGAGTCTCTCCAAAACCAGATGCTGGTGGCTCATGCCTGTAATCCTAGTTACTCAGGAGGCTGAGATCTGAGGATCTCAGGTTGAAGCTGGCCAGGGCAGACATCTATGAGACTCTTATATCCAGTTAACCAGCAAAAAGCTAGAAATTGAGCTGTTGTTTAAGTGGTCGAGTACCAACCTTGAACGAAAAAGCCAAACAAGAGCTCAAGCCCGCCCCCCCCCCCCCCCACATGAACAAATGAAACTTACCATCATTTGTAAACAGCCATCTGCCACATTATGATGGTTGCTGTCTCTCATAGGTCATCCTCCCTTCTCTCCCCACCCCCTTAATGAGTAATGCTTTGGTTCTGCATTTTTACAGTCACTTAGTCCTTACAGTTGTACAGGCAATTTAAATATCTTGTCAAACCAGGTGACCAGTGGGGGAAAAAACCTAAGAACTTCTAAGGTTCTAAGTTGTGCTTCAAATGAGACTTGCAGCCACCCAAGCAGAATTCAGGATTGTTATAAAAGCAAGGGCCCACATCTTTTCTCACTGAGAGAGGGACCATATCTCTTTCAGCTGATCACCAATACTCCAAATGCTCAGGCAATTTTAAAATCAGATTTATAAAGCAATGTTGTAGGCTGGAAGCATAGCTCAAGTGGTGAAGTGCTTGCACTACCACGTGTGAGGCCCTGAGTTTTATACTCAGTAAAAGGCAATGTTTGCATTGATGCTGGTTAATGAGGCTAATTTAAAATAATGAGAAATAACATTTATTTTTATTTGAACATACAATACCACATGTTATACAATGTTTTCTACCAAATGTTTTTAAGCATCATTCATTTTGATAAGAGATTGAGGAGGTAATGACACCCATTTTTGCATAGTTAGCAATCTTTACAAAGTTCCAAAATTTCATAATGGAGAGTTTCATTTAAACTCACTACCTATGTTCCTCATTTTCTAACCAAATGCATGCCCCTCAAAAATATTAATATTTTGCTATGTTACCATATTTAGTGCAATACTGAGAATAAGGGCTGAAACTGTATTCTTTGCCTTTCTGCTATAGCGCGTTTTATGTTACTGTTCCCCCTCATAAAACAGTTCAGAAACTTCTCACAGAGTGCTTTTGCCACCATACCTTGCTTCCAAGGTGAAGATTTCAAGACCAAATGCAGGAATGGCCATTCTGTTTCTAGCTTTCCTTCTGCTCAATGGGAAAAGAGAAAATGTTATGAGTAACCACTGTACTTTAAAACCATTCCTTTTCATAAACCAAAGAAGGTAAAGTTTCTCATTAACCTGGAGTGAGCACAGAAGTGCCTTTGTATTAGATTTTATATTCACAGAGCTCAGAGAATAGAATGCTCATGTCTACAATAGGCAACAAGATTTGATCAGACTTGGAGAAAAAGGGAGAAAAATTGAAGATGTGAGAGTAAGAGCCTTTCATAGTGAAGTAGCTAAAACTTGTCAAAATAATACTGTTTCCACAAAGAGTTAGTAACTGAAGTTTGCTTCATTCCTCTAGGACTCTGAGGAGGAAGAAAATGAGCTGGAAGCTATTAACCGGAAGCTGATAAGTTCCCAGCCTTATGTACCTGTGGAGTTTGCTGACTTCAGTGTTTACAATGCCAGCTTGGAGAACAGGGAATGGTTTTCTTCTAAAGTGGATCTGACAAACTCACGGGTCTTGGAGAAGGAAGTGTCTCGTAGCCCTACCACCAGCAGTATTACCAGTGGCTACTTTTCCCATAGTGCCTCCAATGCCACTCTGTCTGACATGGTGGTCCCTTCTAGCGATAGCTCAGACCAGCTCACCATTCAGATGAAGGAGCCCGACTCCAGTGAACACCCTGGGCCTTCCATTGTGCATGATTTCAGACCATCCTCAAGCAAAGAATTGATGGAGGAAGAAAAAGTCTTGGAAAAGGATAAAATCATTGTGGTGCCACTCAAGGAAAACAGTGCCTTAGCCAAAGGGAACACTTCATCCCAGAGCACCCCTGAGAAAAACTCTAAAGTGATGTGCAGGAATGGTTCACATTCAGAATTAGATGCCTGCCCCAGCAAAAATGGTCAACTGGCCAGAGATTTCTGCCCCAGGGAGGTGACGGTAGAACATACCATGAACATCCTGGAGGATCATTCCTTCACAGAGTTCATGGGTGTGTCAGATGGAAAAGATTTTGATGGTTTGACAGATTCTTCTGCTGGACAGCCATCTGGTAGGAGACACCTACCAAATAAAGCAGACAGTGAGAGTGTCCCAGGTGGGCCACAGGATGCTGGACAGACGCATAACAAGTTAGAGAATAACCAGGTAATACACTTCAGAGGCAGCCCACTGGGTTCTGGGTTCTCAGTGAGCATGTCTAATTGTACACCTACCCCCAGAGGTCCTTCACCACAGTAAACTTTGTAGGAAACACAGGCCCACTAGGGAGCAAGCTCCCTGTCTGTGCAGATCATTCCCTTATGAAGAGCTGATCTGCTTTGGGAACCATGAAATATAGGACCAATAGATTCTTTGAAATTGGCATATGAATCGATGTTGAATTAATATTCAGGTGGCTAAGGATCATTTAATGTCATGTTAATTCTCTGGTGGCTTTGGCCTATCTCCAAATAATGATAGCATCTACCATGAGAATTAATTTGTGTATCCTTTGGTTCCTATATCTTGTTTTACCTTGTATCAGTAAGAAAGAAAAACACTGGACTGGGAGAGTGTAGCTTAGTGGTAGATCATTAGTCCTGGATTCCATTCCCAGCACTAGAAAAGAAAAATCACATCAGCAACTGTAAGAAACAACAGTAATCTGGTGAAAAAGGGTGTTTCAGGAAGGAGTGAGCAGATTTCCTGAGCAATTGAAGTTTGGATTTTGGCTGTTAACCAGATTGGCTTATAATATTGTTTAATTTCCATATTGGAACAAAATAGGTTTTTGCCACAGAAAAAAATGAATTATGTAAACAAGAGATTATCACCTTCTTCTAAGCAATCTGTTCTTAAGCACTGCCATTTCTTTCTATTCACATCCCCCGCGCCCCCCCCCCATTCCTGCCCCCCTTTTTTGGTGGCATTCCTATATAAGTTGTGGGAGAGTCATGGCTTGGCAAAAACACCGAGTAAACCCAACAAGACATAAGCTTGGTGAAGGATGCCATAGTTATGGTACTTCTCCAACCAATGTCTGAGAAACTTACTCATCATAGGTGTGTTCTTTTCATGCTATGCTAGCCTTTAACATGTTCGTGTAGTGTCATTTACACAGCATATACAAATAAGCACCAAAAACTAACCAGTGATCTCTTACAGGTTAAACAACAACAGCTTTTCTCTCCTTGTTATAAGAATAATAAAGCTGCTGGGCACCAGTGGCTCATACCTGATCTGAGGATTCAGGTTCAGAGCCAATGTGGGCAGAAAAGTCCATGAGATTCTTATCTCCAATTAACCATCAAAAAGCCAGAAGTAGAGTTGTAGTTCAAATGGTAGAACACCAGTCTAGCCTTGAGCACAAAAACAACAAACAAACAGAAAACAGGGACAGAACCTAGGCCCTGAGTAATAATGTTGCTAGGTTCTCATGATTCGAGCCTGTAATCCTAGCTGCTCAAGAGGCTGAGATCTGAGGGTTAGTTTGAAGCTACACTGGGCAGGAAAGTCCATGAGACTTTTATTTCTAACTAACCACCAAAAGCCAGAAGTGTAGCATGCATGTATATGGGAGGATCTAGCTCAACATGTATAAGGTCCCAAGTTCACTTCCCAGCATCCTATTAAAAAAGAAAGTCATTCACTGGTCCAATTTGTTCTTGCAAGGAAAACATTTTCCCCCTATTGGTCTTGAAATGAAAACCTGAATTGGGTTTTCTTCTCAACCTTCAATGAGAAAGGCACCCTGCAAAACATCAAATTCCCAGGAATTAGACCACCCTCAAATGTTGATCCATATATAGTGGAAGAGGGGAAATGAAGTTTTCACAACCCCCCTTCAGGATAAAGTAAGGGAAAGTGGAGTGTCTAAGAGGCTTCCTGAGACTGTGGGCCACGAAAGAGGGAAGAGATGTCACAACCCCTCTTGCCTAGATTGTTTGGAACCCAACAAATACAAAAAGCTTCTCTTCCAGGAGATCTTGCAATAGTGTGTCCCTGATAAAACGGCTTGTCTTAAAAGTGGATTCTGGGCTGGGAATGTGCCTTAGTGGTAGAGAGCTTGCCTAGCATGCAGGAAGCTCTAGATTTGATTCCTCGGTACCACATAAGCAGAAAAAGCCAGAAGTGGCGTTGTGGCCCAAGTGGTAGAATGCTAGTCTTGAGCAAAAGCAGCTCAGGGACAGTGCCTAGACCCTGAGTTCAAGCCTCTGGACTGGCAAAAAAAAAAAAAAGTGGATTCTGAAAAAATGTTGTACCAAAATAACAGGATAGAGGGGGTTTTGTTTCTTTGCTTTAATTTTTTTGTGGTTTTTTGTTTGCTTTTTGTCATATTCGTGTTTTGTTGTTTGCACTGCTAGGGTTTGAGTGTTAGGCAAGCACATTTGTTCTGACAGTATTAAAGTCTATTTGAGAACTCTTTACTAAAACTTGATTTTAGTGTCTTAGATCATGCATGGATCACTTCGTAGGAGGTTCATCTTTGGCCTAAGTTTTTCTCTTGTGTGGTGTGGATTCCAGAAGTGGATTCCATAATAAATTTAGTCCAGCAGGCCCCTTCAGGAAGAGCCCCCTTAGGGGTGGGCCCCTTGTAGAGGTAGGGAAAAGGAGCTTAGACTCACCAGCCTCTGCATTCCAGGAGAGCACAGCCACACGGTGAGAGGCAGCAGGCGTGCCCAGGCTTGGCCACAGCTCAACAGCTCTGTTCACCTGGTCATCATGAAAAAGCACCAGCCCCATCTTACAACTTGCTCCAACCCAGCCTGACCTCAGACCAGCACAGGGAGCCACGTGCCTCCCCACCCCAGCTGGAAAAGCAGCACTTTGCCACTGGGGGGACTTGCAGCCTCTGCTTTTTCCAGAAAGCATGATAACTGAAATTCTGGATCGAATTAAGTGACAGTATTTTTGTTTGCACTTACTACTACACATCCCCGCCGTGTAGAGATCTCTACAGATTCAAACGGACTTTATTCTTGTACAGTTTTAATCAGTTCTTATGGTAGAATCTGAGTCAATGCTCTAATTTGTTTTGTATAAATAATATATATTATGTATATGAAATGTGTATCTATAGTATGTCTGTTCAGAGACAGGCTGCACACTAAAATGCACATAAAATGATTTATAGAAAATTATAAGGTACTGGACTTTATTACCACATAACTTGGGCAATTGTTTTTACATAAGCAGATGAAAATTATTTTATTGCCTAAGGATAAATCTGCAAATCCATCTTTACAGGAAAGGTTACAGATACTGTTCTTTATATAACCAAAGAACTTACATGAGATTGAACGTCTTTGGTGTCCACTTGTTTTAGTGAGCATATATGACTGCAAGTTTGGTGCCATACTTCCCTTGGCTACCAGGCCATGTGCTGCCCCTTCTCTGTCCTCTGTTTCCTAAGCACACTGAGAAATCTCCCAGCTATTGTTTCCCACCTGGCCCAACACCTGTTGACTTGACATTGTATTATAACCATTGAAAATGACTGGGGCTGTCACTCCAGCCCAGCATTTCCTGTACCTTGGTTCAGCCCAATCAGGCAGGTACAATGCAGAGAGCAGTATTACTGTAAGCAAACACAAAGGAGCACCAAGGGTTGGGGTTGGGAACTAGAGGAAGGATGTGTGTGTGTGTGTGTGTGTGTGTGTGTGTGTGTGTGTGTGTGTGTGTGTGTGTGTGTGTGTGTGTGTGTGTGTGTGTGTGTGTGTGTGTGTGTGTGTGTGTGTGTGTGTGTGTGTTGGGATTGATAAATTTCACTGTGGTGTGGTTTTGCTGTTAATTCTGAAAAAAAAAAATGCTGACAAGATGGCCTGAACTACAGAGTTCACAGGTTCACTATTCACTGTTTGAAGATGGTTGATGTACTTGCGGTTCTGTCTTCAGTTGTAAAGTTCTCCTGTGAATGGAGACACTGTAGAGTTATGCTTGTGGACATTTGTACTACAGTACTTTACCTATTCTGTAGATTCCTGTATAACTGGTCTGTACAGATGCAGACATGTCATGAGAGGAAGAGTAAGAGAATGTGTACAGCCTGCTGTATGTACCTTTTTTAAGTTCTTGCATCCATAAATGAGTCAGATATATTGGAGACTTTATTGAAAAGCTGCTGTTCATGACTTTTTGTGTATAGTGAACTGACTGTAGTTATTTTACTATTGTCTGTTTTTAAAAAGAAAAACCTGTAATTTATATCCCCTTTCAACTTTATTGTATTTAATTGGTACAGATTTGTGTATGTGTGTTTTAGAATACAAATTGTCTAATTCAGATTTTAAAATATGAGCTGTTTGTCTTTAATAACCCTGCAGTTCTGACTTACTGTATTTGCATAGCTGCCGATCCCTATAAACATTATCAGCTAACTTTGTCCTCAAACCCAGGATGTTGCAGTTGCTGGGCAAGCACTTTGCCACTGAGCTACATCCCAGCCTACCTGCTAACATTGTTAAGGGCTTGCTGTTCACTAGGCACTATTCTAAACATTTGATACTTATTATCAATTACTCTGACAGCATGCATATCATAAGCATCATTGTTTCTAAGAGCTGAACACAGCAGTTAGTGAGTGTGGACAATGGAGGAATTCAGCCCACATTTCCATCAGCCTGTCCTTTCTGTGTTCCACCTGGAGGGACGACTACTTGGAGGAAGATGTGGGCACCTTACCAAGGACAAGAGGGTGTGGCATCCTGAGAGACACAAATCCCACTCGTCCAGGGAATTTCTGGAGTAGGTAAAACATGTTGTGTTACTATGTCCAAAATGCTTAAAATCTTTACAGAAAATAGCAGGACACCTATATCTGTGAAATAGTGCCATAGATAGCTTACTGCCAACATTCTACCTAAAAATGGTATTATTCAGGTGCCGGTGGCTCACACTTTTAATCCTAGCAACTCGGGAGGCTGAGATCTGAGGATTGTGGTTCGAAGCCAGCCCAAGCAGAAAAAAGTCCATGAGATTCTTATCTCCAGATAACCACCAGAAAACCAGAAATGGTGCTGTGGCTCAAAATGGTACAGCATTAACCTTGAGCAAAAGAGCTCAAGGCCTGCGACAGTGCCCAGGCCCCAAGTTCAAGCCCCACAAAAGAAAAAAATGGTATATTCTGAAGCTTCCGAGAATTAGACCTAACCTGCTCTGAGTCAAGAGTGCTTTATGGCCACTTCCAGAGGAGGGAAAAATGGAGAGAAAGCCCTAACTTACTTGAATTTTATAAAAAGGAGTCAGCTACTTGATACTTACATAACAATGACCAATTAAAATGACAGTTTGAAGCCGGTGTGTGCAGAAAAGTTCATAAGATTCTTAAAGTATTAAATGGAGATGGAGCCAGCTGAGCCAAGCAAGAGCACATGTCCCAGAGTTCAAGCCCCAGTACCAGCACAAAAAAAAATAAAGCATTCTGGTCATATCATGAAAAAATTCTTGAAGAATTTTTGCTGTCTTCTGAACCAAGAGCTACTGGCATCCCTTTGGATATTTAGCCTTGAACTTGTATAGTATCAGCAGTGCAGCCCGTTTTTTGAGATTAAACACACAAACAAGGCAAGAACAAAATGCCAAACTGCTAAAATATGTTGCAGTTCCTCTCAAGAGTTTTCTCCTCTTCTAAAAGAAATGCAGTTTGTTCTAATGCCAGCAGCTTCCCCCATGAATCCTGGATGTTACTGCCATCTCTTGCTAGTGGAGAAAATGAATCTTCCATGGGAAGGGCAGAAGGCAAGATCTGCCCTTTCACAGAGTATGAATTGGAGCTGACAAGAGTGAAAGCAAAACCCAAAGTCTAAATTTAACCTGCTTGTGTTTGTCTCTAATCCCCTGAGTAGAGGAAAAAGAATTATAGATTGAGTACCACT